AAGGTGCAGAGCTATTAGTTTGACATATGTGAAGTATTTCTGAATTACTGAGTTTCCATAGTCTATCCAAATCCAAATATTAGCATTTGAGTTTTTCAGGATTTTACAAAGTTGTTTTAGTGTTCTCCCACCCTCTTTGCCCCTCCTCTCCATCTAGTTAAGGTTTTAAAACAGGCAATCTGAATTACACCTGAGGAAGAGCAGTGCAAGCCTTTTAAAATGCTTAAATATGAGGACTTTATCACCAAATCTAGCAAATTACATTTCAGAACAGCTCTCTTACTGGAAAAAAAAAGCATGCACCTAACTGATTCTTAGCTTCTTGAAGTAATATGTACTGACTTTGCGATATCTGTATTTTAGTTTTTAATATGTTACATTTATTCTGAATTCTATTAATAGTCTATTTTGCAGCTGAAGTGTGGATTTTGAATGACAGTACATAATGTCATTGAAGTTAGTGTATTTCTACAGGTAGAACTAATCTTTTGTATAGAAAGCCAGTTTCCAGTTGAAAGTAATTTTTAGTATGTCCTTCAGTAAAGCCAGTGGAAGGTTATTTACTGTCATGGCAAATGTTCAGTTATGTAAAGTGTCACATTACTTTAGTTTCAGAAGAGAAGCTTTGAAACAGTCTGCTGTATATATCTTACTAAAATTGTAAAGCAAAATATTGCTCTGTGTATTATGAGGCTAAGTGTTTTTCTCAAATGGTTTCCTCCTCCCCAGAGATCTGTAAATAGGTGAATAGTTTGTGTGCGTGACGGAAGCCATGACTTGGGGCAGTCCTTCTCTTGTGATCTGTGAAATGGGTGACACTAGCTTTATGTTCAGCTTCCAGTCCCATGTGCACAGGATTTTTTGTGTTAAATGAGGCAGAACATAAATAAGCAGAAAGTACATCTATAAGAATTTTTAAAAACTCAATTGCAGGAGGATTCGTTTCATTTTTGTCTCTGAGGTGGACATGTTCTAGAAGTTACATGGCCTTGAATAGAAGCTTCTACCTCAAAATTAAGTGGTTAATAGAAATTTTTTTGAAGTTGGATAAGCAAGCATCTTAATCCTTGGAAGTTCATTGCATGCTTGGATATTTTCTTTATACAGTCAGGTATGCTGCATAAGCAATTTTTAAAAAAAATTCAGGGAATAAGACTGCATGTGTCTTAGTTTAATAAAACCTTTTTTAAGCATTTCTACTAGAAGTGTTAACTATGTTCAGTGTAGGCAATGGCATCACAGTTAATGTATGTCATTGGAAAGGGCCAAACAAACTACCTGCCAGTTACGGTGAGATTGGGCAATTCTATTTTTGGCAGCTAAGTGTATGCAGAAATATTTTAGTTATTATTTCAAGTGCTCAAATACAAATATTTACTCAGTATACTTTGTTATGGTGCCTTGTTGACTTATTAGAGGTCATTATATAGCTTGAAAAAAGACCTTTCTCTAGCTTGATTTGTGTAACGAAAGGCACCCTCAGTCTATTTGAAAGCATTTACAATTTAATGTGTCAACAATTTTGGTGTTAAATTCTGTTTTCCTTCTATTAATTCCCCTGAAGTGGCAGCTGTATTTAATTTTATGTGTAAAAATACCTTGTTTCAATCAATTGCTCAAAATTAGTTTGACTGGGCATATGTTCCAGCACCACTCAGATTTCAGGGAAATGTTACAGTAGTTAAACCACATAATAAAGAATGAAGAAAGAATCCTGTTAACGCTGCCTTATGAGTTAATTCTTTTCCAAGAAGAGGCGTGTACTTCTTTGCCTTGATGGAAGGGGTCCTGCTGACCACTGCTTGTCAGGCTCGAAGTCCTGTCTGCTACTTCTGAGAGTTTCTGAAATAGGTAGGTCTTGAAATGTACACACCTACGTGGGTAAATCTGAGGATGTAGCAGGACTTACTTGTTGAGTGAAGTCTGATTGATTGTGTTCTCAGTGCTTTATAATTCTGTCTGCCTTTTTCCACTTGGCTGAACAGAATGTCACATATTTGCAGGTTCTGCCGTAGAAATCTGGCTGCTTTTGAGGATGAAACATACCCTTGATATGAATAAGATCAAGTTCACCTATTTTTTAATATGAGGGGCAAGGAAAAAAACCCAGAATATTTAAAATCTCCTACATTTCCTTCAGTTGGTGATTTCAAATTTCAGTGATTGTGTTAGTCACAAAAATGCTTTTACTGCTTCTTAATTTGGTGGAGTTTTGCCTGGTTTGGATGTGCAGTTGAAAAGTCTGGACTCTGGAAATCATGAGGAATATATATTATAACATGGCAGGTGTACCAGAGATGGGTTTTGACTGTCAGGAGGAATAGAAATGGGGAAGAAATAACTGGTGTATGGGGCAGACAGGCATAAGTAGAATCCAGAAAAGTCTCTTCATTTGCATTGCTGTTTTCTGGCCTGGAATGGATTTGAATTTCTGAATCTTGTTCTTCTTCTGCTGTCAGCAAATTTTGCTGAAAATCATTAGATTTCCACCTAAGGGAAATTTCTTTGTTTATCCAGGTATATAGGATGATACCTCCCACTAATGGTCTGTTAATGATTACTTGGAAGGACTGTATCATTCTCGTGATTTTGGAGAGCTCCAGGAGGCCTTATAGTAATTTTTTTCCATTTTGCTTAAAACCCCCCATTATTCTGTAAGCTCTTAATTTTATTAGTGCAGAAAAGTACAGCATTAAAACATCCATAAACGATATAGAGCAACTTATTTGTTCATTTCATATTCCCATATGTAATTTTCCAGTTGCATATGATTTTCCTCAAGACTGGAGCCTGATTTGGTACGTCAAGTGCAAAATGTTTATTCCTAATGACTGGCTATTAAATATCTTGTTTATTCATTGTGTAGCCTGAGGTTCATTTACTGCATGCTGTTTTCTGAAGACAGAAAACCTAATTCTTGAAATAAAATATTCAGCTGTCCAAACAAACAAAAAAAAAAAAAAAATAATCTTTTCTCGCAAATGACTGAGGTCATGCTGTCCTCATTTTCCTCAAGCTGTACAGGCAGAGATTGAAAGCTCACACATACATATGTATACATAAACATTTCTGAGAGCCTGGTCTGAAATGCTTAAGACTCTTAAAATTCCAAGTGATATAATTAATAAGTTTGTTTATATATTGAGTTATTACTGTTCCTTCTCTGTTCCTTAACTGATTTTAGCTACTGCTTAGGTACTGATGCATCTGCAAGGTCTTAACTGGCAGCAAGGAGCCCAGTCCTGCCTTTCCCAGCCTTAGCCCCTCAGTGGGAGTTTGCTGTTGGTGATTTGCTTGCTGTTGCTCCAGGCTCTGACAGTCAAGCAGTACCTGCTCCTCTGTGACAGCGCTGACTGCTTGCCCTGGATGGCTCATTTTCTCATGGAGAACCTAAGGACAAGTTGCATTTACTGCATAACCGGGTTTTCTTTTCAGAATATGTGTGTCCAGCGTACTCATTGAGGCTTCAGGTTTATGGAAGTGAAAAAATAATTGGTTATATCAATAAAAATCTGTGTGGTATGTGCATACAATGCTGCCCAAGTGAGATTTTTCAGCCAAGCTTCATTATGGTATTTTCAGCTACTGAATACTTGACATCATGGAATTTTTGGGCTTTATTTGTGTTTAATATACACTCAGTGGAATAACCTACATTGCAAGCAGTCAGACATCCTGTGTATGAATATTTCTACATATTTTTACGGATTCAGACCTTTTGAGGAGTGTTTTAGAAGGGTTTGAGTGATGGAAGTTGGATGTAGGCAGCTGTTGCTCATATAGCCATTTTGCAGATGGGTGCAGTCCTTATTTCCATTAAGAAATACTTGAAGTCTGGGGGAAATTGCTGTAGCTCTATGCCTAAAATATTGTTAAAATTGGATCAGCAGCTCTCTCCTAGTTTGTTGGCAGCAGTAGGTGATAAATACTTGCTGTCCTGTTATGAACTGGGCGGAGTGAATGGTCTGTAGCAGAGTCAAGCTGGCACAGAGTTTGCCTTGGCAGAGAAGGTGAGTGCTCAGTGGCATCAAAATCTTGGGAATTTCCCTCTGTTGAGGGCTGTGTGATGTAGTGCCGTGTTTAAAATCTCATGTAGTTTTCAGTGTCACTGTTTCTTGGGTCAGCGTTGCCTGTTTTTTGGGCCAAGCAATAAACACTTCCACAGCACTGTCCTTTCATAAAACTTAGGAACAGGTCAGCTGTGCCTTCATGAATTGCTGCATAGGTAAGGCTTGCACAGGGCCCAGAATTGAAGTTAATGTGCAAAACTGTAGTTTTAACCTTTAGTTTCTATTTTACTTCAAATAAAAAATCACTTTTGATGTTTTCAAAACTTTGCTGTGTTTAAGTTCATCTGTGATTTAATAACCATGCAATCATTCTTCACCTGCTACTTTATTCTCTAGTGAATTTCATGTGAATTTTTTTACACTGTTTCTGTAGAAGAGACTTCTAAAAATATCATTTCATTACATTTATGTAGTGATCAACATTTCTTGTGTGTAATAGATTTCCATAAAATTCAATGAGCAGGTGATTATGTTAATTTTTTTCCCTGACTGCCGTAATTTCTTGGCCTACCGTCTTAAGAGCAGTGAGATGTTTGTTTCCTCCTGTCCACTTCCCCTGTCTCCAGGGAATCATGCAAGAATTACATGCACTTTCCTAATTGTATGTGTCAAGAATTGAAGAAGCAGAGCTATTTCATCTTTGTTCAGAAGAAATTGTAGTGTTTCATCAGAAGAGAAATTCCTAGGTATTGAAGCCTTACAGGATGGTATTTTGGGAGCTCAGCCTTCTTGGGTCTAAACAAAAAGATGTAATGTGGCATTTTCCTCTGGCTGGTATCTAAATGCAGAGACTCTTTTTTTTTTCTGAAGTTTGGTCATGGAAGTAGTAGCATGATGTGGAGAACTTCCTGTATAATGCTGTTATTTCCAGAGATCCCAAAGACTTGTGTTAGGAAGCATTTATGGATTTATCATTTCTTTCCTCTTCAGACTACCTATCTCAGAGAACATTGGAACTGAACATGCTAAAAAATACAGACAAACAGAAGAACAAGAGCTGAATGTAGCTGGAAATGGTCAGCTTGTCTATAAACCAGGTAAAAAAAGAAATAAAACTATTTAGTTCCTATTATAAACTCAGATGTACCTGTCCTTTTTCTCCCTGTTGTCTTTACACTATCTCCCTCTCTAAATTGAATGTAGTTTTTTGTTTATTGATGTGTGTGGATTAGTTTGTTATAGATAAAGCGTGGTATTAAAAAGTCAACTCCTTATTTTCTGCAAACTATAATGTATAATGCTGTTGCATTGGTAAGTGTTCACACATTTGGCTTGTTGTATCGATAAATGTAGATACAGGATTAAAATGAATCTGCAAGGACAAGATACCATTCATTAGATTCGTGCCTTTGTTCTGTTTTCCCATTTTTTATTCAGATTTCTCTGTGTACTTGATTGTTGCTTTGAGCTGCCTTTAGAGAGAAATTCGATTGCACTTCTTTCCTAGGAGCTCTGGTAAAAGCCCTGTGAGGCTGACTCACTTGTCAGGACAGCTCAGCTTCAAACGCTTACTGTGCTTCTTAATTTCCAGATTTGTTAATGTAGCTGATTTCCTGAGGAAAGGACATTTATGTTTTATCTGTTCTGTGTGTCATTCTCTTAATACTTTCTCTATGCCTTTGCTGGCATACCAAAATATGACAAATTGAGAAATTTTATAGAAATTGGTGTCTTTCAGTGCATCTGCAAATTCTCTGGCCTCTGGAACTCAGGCTGATGAAGCCACTTGTGGGATTTGTCGTCAGCTGAGATGCAGTAGGGGCAGTTGGCCAGTTCACCATGTGCAGTGCACATTGTCTTCTGTCCTAACCACAGAATACTGTCTCTTGTTCCCTTGATGTTACATAAAGTTTGTGGGAGAGGAAGTATTAAAAGGTAGAAATGGGGGAATAAAGAGTCTGGAAGGATCTTCCAGTGTTGTCATTCAGGAATGACATTTTCCTAGTTCTTCGTGTGCTTTACTAGCAAAGGAGAGACAGCTACAAGTTGAGGAAGATTAAGCTCTGTAGATTCATTTCTGTAGATTACTTTCTTTAATTATACAGTGGTGTTGATTAATGCAAGGATGTACCGCAGCTCATTCAGTGTCTTTTACCTACTAAATCAGAATATTGTATAAAATAGAGTAGCAACTTTAGCAGCACTGTTGGTCTGCATGACTTTGAATGGGACTGATTCTTTCTGTGAAAGAAACAGGATTATAACTTAGGCTTTTTATGAAATATTTCTGTGTAGTCATCCTGGTACTTTATTTTATAAATACCTATTTTCTCTTGGTCTATCCTAAAGTATTTGTCCTTGAAATTTTACCTTCTAATATTTACTCTTGCCTTCCAGTTGTAACTTACTGAAGCAGCATCTAGTTAGCAAACAACCATAAAACATTACTAAAGGATTGACATATTACATAATCCGTTATTATTAATGCATTAGATATTTTCCTCAGTTTCTTGCCCTCCCTTCCTTCCCCCTGTTCTGTTCTTTGTCTGTCTCATTGTCTGGAGTCTCAGTTGCTTCAGGAGCTGTTCTGTGCAGTGTTGATGCCTGCCTGCTCTCATCAGTGCTCTGCTGCCAGCAGTGTGTGATCCCGTGGCAGACTCCAAGCAAACTGAGCAAACTGGATAGTGACAGGACTGGAACATTCCTACGGCATTCTGAGGCTGAGCTGCCAAATCCCACCTAGATGTAGAATAACATGAAAGCTTCAGAAAATCCTTCTTCTTACTGCCCTTAACTTTGACTTACAGACAGACACAGAAATACTGTGTTAGGATAGTAGAATAAAAAAAGCTCAGTAAGTGAGCATAAGAATTGTACTGTTAATTTTATAGCTTATAAATGTGTATGTTGTTCTACATTTCAGACTGCTTTAATGTAGTATGCTCACCATTCAGAGTTTAAGAGCTTAGAGATGTATTTGTAACTATCAGCTATACTGATCTGAAAGTTTGTTTTCCTCAAGAACATGGGAACTGTCATAAATGATGAAGGACTTATCTAGGCCAGGACCTGTGAGTTGAGCTGTATTGAATACAAATGTAGTCAAGAAATAACCTTCACAACATGGAAATGAGAAACTGATTTTTTCTGAAGGTTCTGAATTGGTACCCCTTTTGTAGTTTCTTTCTCTGAGTTGCTGTTCTGACTATAGGCAATATTTTCTGTGCAAATTGATAGCCTGTTTTAAATCTTGCAGTTGCTGAAACTGCTTGTGTTTGTACTGCTTATGCCTTGTTATTTGATGAAGTTCTATTGAGTTTAAATCTTGTGCTTTCCAATTTCTTTGAAAGAGCATATGCTTTTACTGAGATGACAAACAGAAATGCCTGATCTGCTTCTGTGTTGGGGAAACAGATCATCAGGGAACTGCATTTAGAATTCTGGCTTCTGCAGAGCATGGTAGAAATGATACTGCTGTGCAAAGGAACTTGAAGTGATTAAATAAAAGTAGAAGAAAATTCTTTTTCATAACTGTTATGAACGAGTAACAAAGCGAGTAGAGCATTAGCAGTTCTTCCCTGCCCCACCAGGCTTGTTTCACATTTGGTGCTGGTTCTTCCAGGCTTCACACACTTTTCATTCAGTGAGGTCACGGGGTGTTGTGCAGAAGGATGCCTTCCAGAGTTGGGTGTAGGGGACACTTATCACTTTACTTATCTTGTAGAAAATATTTTTTTCTAAATTTGGGGAATTCTGAACTGTACAGACTAGAGCTTTTGACTTCAGAAAGCTTCTAAAATCCTTATTTTCATGAAGCTTTGTGGATGGCAGCTTTTTTTTTTTTTTTCCCCTCTGTCTTCATGATTTTCACACCTATAAATTGTTACCTTTTGGAGGTCTTCCAGATCCCACCTGAAGCAATTTCTTTCAGAGAAGAAGAAATTTAAACATTGTTTCTGATATATAATAAGCCAAATGTTACGTACCTTATATATTGTGAATTCAGAATGGATCCATGCCAGGAAAATTAATCGTAGCACAGATCCTCACCCAGAATACTTTTGTGTATAAGATACGTGCAAGGTGAAGAGGACTGCAGTAAAGAAGTCTTCCCCAGACAAGTGTTTTCTTAGGAATTCTCTGAATTAAGCTTATCAAGGATCAGTCAGCAGCACCTTTGTGTACTTGGTGTTTGAGGTAGCACCATGTTTGGGAAATCCTTTTGCTTTTTGGCTCAAGAAGCCGATTGTTACCTATTGCTTTCCTTTCCTATGAGCTTCCTTGCAAACTGTAATCACTTTGTGTGTAGCTCAGCAGAAGAATGATCAGTGATTTAATAAGCATCTCATTTGATTCATCTAACCAGTACTTTCAAGTATATTTCGTTTTAAGCATCTCATTTTAATTGCTTAGTGGCAGGATAGCAAGATAACACCTGTACAAACTCTTCTCCCAGATCTGGTGAGTATAAAAATCTAATCTTAGGTTAAAGGATCTCTTCAAATTCAATTCACGAAACGGGTGCCAGAGGGAGTACATCTGCTGTATGGGCTGTAATAACTGAGATACTGAAAAATTGCTCTTTCCATGGGCACTGTACTGTTTTAGTCATTGTCATCTTTACAGGACTTGCATAATAATTGAAAGAGAAGTGAGCTGGCAAATTAATCTTTCCCATAACCGAGGTTTCTCTTTCTTTTTTGCACCAACTCTGAATAGAGAAATTAATTATTCTGGACTGGCATTAATGCTTCTTATACACTGAAATATTTTGCTTGTCCTTAACCAGCGAACCATGGGGGGCAGTTGCCTGCTTCCTCAATTTACTGTTTTCAGGTTGGAAGCATTCTGCATTCTGTGCCGGAATCCAAGGTCCAAGTTAGAGCACGATGCCTGACACAGGTGTGCGCAGGTTGGATCAGTTGTCCCTGTCCTAATAATACTTTTCAGAAAGTAAAAGCAATTGAAAAAGCAAAAGTTCATGCCTCTCTTGCTGATAATTCTGTAGACCTGTAGCTGATTTTTTAGGTGTATTGGCAGGAATGACCAGTTTTTCTGAAGACTTGTTATCATTGGGGGATTTATTGCATATTGGATATGAAAAATAATAAAGAAAAACCCCAAGCAAACTCAAAACATTTAAAGGTAATTACGCTGTTTGGTATAGAGTCCCCAACTGAATGGTTATTTAAATCAGTAGAATAACCTTTCATTGAGGTGAGCACATTGAACTGTTCTCTTCTGCAGCGGGTCTTCATGGTTCAGAACAACTTTCATGTTTAAAAAATAAAGATGAAGGTCTTTTAAGATGGTTGTTCAATTTCCCCATCTCAGTTTTGTTTTGTTTTTTACTAAGGATCTTAATAGATTTCAGATGGAGTTTATCCTCACTTTGTTAGGATGGGGTATTTCCAGTGCTGCTTGGGTCGTGTCAAGTTTCCAGTTTGCTGAGGCCCAAAACTGTTCTGTCTCTGCAGACAGAAGTCTCACAGTTGTCATGTTATTGGTTCCTCAGGCAAACAAAATAATGTTTCTTTCAGTTTAAGCACAGAAGACATGTCTTGAAGAGAAAAAACCCAAAACTTAGAGTGTTCAGTACTTGCAGCATCTGCTAAATGGTTGTATGGCTGTCACTTCTTAAATTCTGTTTGGTGATTGTGGCTAACATTGGATCACCATTTTCTTCTCTTATAGTTTTTTTTCCTAGACACCTGTGCTTAGGAGAGAGTAAGGTGTTGCTGTCCTGGAAATGTTACATAAAAAGCAGTATTAAAAAAAGTTATGTTTTATTAGTGAAAAAAATGATACATAGAAAATTAAATTGTTTTTCAGCAGGTATATGAATACTGGTAGCTGTTTCTTTGCTTCTGGTTTGTTTCTTGGTGTTTTTTAATAAAATTCTTAATTGAATTTCACGTTAAAGATTTCTTACTAATACACTGGGGTTTCTACTGCATTACAGAGGGTTATTACATGAATCCTACCTTTCGAATTGTTTGTGCCTCCCTCCTTATTTATTTTTAATATATATATTAAAAATTGCTTTCTTCTTCTAACATTTTAACTTTTCAAAATTGCAGTTGTTTCTTTGAAAACCTGATAGAGGTGGGAAGGTGATGTTGCTTTAGCAGGAATCTGCTGCTACTGGGATCTGTTCCCTAGCACCTTGAGTTTTCTTCCAGCATTGGTCAAATCACACACAGCTATGGATGTCTCAGTTGTGACATGTTTGTGCCAGAGGGAAGCCAGGCAGCCTTCGTGCAGTGCTGCTGTGGCAGAATGCTATATATATATATATGCATTTTCCTGGGGAATATATTTAGAACCTTGACCAAAAGTATTTTAGAAAGGACAGTTAATGTTTCAAAGGGGTGCTGCTACCAAGTTCTGGTTTTGTTTGTGTTTAGTGGTGCTAAGTAGATCCTTGTGCAGTGATCACCTTTCACCGTTGCGTTACAGAGTCCAGGTAAATGAATTTCTTCTGCTGCAGAATGTGGCTTTAGGAGAACTGGTTTTTAGTGCCTTATGAAACTGTCATAGTGAGTTGTCCAGCTTTTGGGGTTTTTTTTTAGTGTTAGAATAACTTAATTTATGTTCTTTGACATTTGGAGACAATTCAGGGCCATGGAACACGCTGAGGTATGGCACAGAGCTAAGATGCTGTTCTGCGTGCTTCTGCTTCACTACTGTGTGAGATTGTTACACTTTCCAAAGAAAGGGAGCTGTAACTGCAGCCAAGTATTTAGGATGTAGCCTTTATTTTAAAGTAATTATTGCCTTTGTAGAAAGATTAATAGAATTCTGTCTCACTACTCTATTTCTTAAAGAAAAAATGACATAAAAAGAAGTACAGGGTTTTATTGTCAGTATCTAAGTACCCATTTTGCCATAATACCTGGTGAAACCCATTTGAGATGGAAAGCATTTATATTTTTGATTTCATTATGCAGTGGGTATTTTAGTGTTTGTTTAATTGTAACTTGCAAAATTATTGTTTACCACAGTCTTGTCCAAGTTTTCCCCTTCTGCACCTCCAGACCTGTTCTTTTGTTTTGCGTGGTCACTGACTGCAGACCTCTGAGCAGAAACTTAGGCTGGCACTGAAAGATTTTTGTTCTATACTACCCAGAGCTAATGGAGACTTAACTTCTGCCAAGAGACTGCAGAGTGTAGTATCGTCACTGAAAGGTCATCATGGTGCTTAGCAGATTTTAATGGTCAAGTGGTAGAAATATAATGGTATTCATATCAAATTACAGGTTATTTTGTACTGTGAATCTAGTAGATTTTAAGGGAAACAACATGGGTACATGAAAAAGGCATAGTTTTTTCATTATTGTAAAAAATTCTTGGGTATACAGGTAAAATTGGCAGTTGTAACACAAACGGCAAAAATCCACTTTTTTAAATTAAGAGACAAACATACAGAGTTTGTATAGAGGATATACATCCTTTCCACTGATGTTGGTTTAAAAATAGAAGCTATGTTTTTCAGAGTTGCTTCCAGTAAAACAGCAGTTGCATAAATACAGAAAATCTCTTTAGTCTACTAATATTTAAAAAAATATTTATTTTATTAATACTTAAAGTATGTGGTTCCCATTTTAGAGAAGTTAGGCTTCCAAATACTGTCATCATAATCTCCTGCTGGTCTTTTCCTTTCTCTTTTGAAATGTTACTCTTGTTTATTTTTATGCCTAGGTACTTCATTGTCTCAGTGTGAACCAAGTGATTCAATTTCTGTACCAATAAGTAAGTGTAAACATTTGGATATGCCTACAGCCAAACACAGGGAAAAGGTAATGTCAGTTTACTTTCTCTCATGGAATAAAGCTGAAAATAATGTTTTGTTGTGGCTTTTGGGTGGGGTTTTTTTTTGTTAGTTTGTTTCTGTTGTTTTTTGTAAGGTAATTTCTGTTCCTGTTTTAAACACAGTACAAAACTTCCACGTTTTTTACAAAACCATTGCATAAAATGTCTTAGAGGAGGAAACGTTGCTGTTACACTTTATAGGTATTAATGTAAAATATATACATGGGTGTGTGCCCATACTCTTTTCTGTGATCTTCTAATGCACTGTAGGACTCCAGTTATCTCTGATAGAAAAGATGGCACAGTGTTTTAAAGAAACTTTCTTTCTGGCTTGGAAGCTGTTGATATTTCAAATCTGTTTGAAACCTGTTTCAAGTTCCTTTGTGTACTTACGAGTTTACTTGAAAAATTATTTCAGATAGTGTCTCTCATACAAAACAACTCAGTTGTGGTTGTGGAAGGAGCAACTGGCAGTGGAAAGAGCACCCAGATTCCCCAGTATATTTTGGATTATTGCATGAGCCGGTCTCTGCCCTGCAACATTGCTGTGACCCAGCCTCGGAAAATCAGCGCCAGCAGCCTTGCCAGGTGGATTAGCAAGGAAAGGTCATGGAGGCTTGGTGGAGTTGTAGGATACCAGGTATGGGGAAATCCAAATTGTATTTAAAAATGCATTAAAAAGTACTGTATATTATTCCTTGATTACTTTTAAGCATATCTAGCATACTGAAGATATGTTAGAGAGTCTGCTTTTAAAGTAGAATTGCTGGTTTTTATCTGTCTCCTGCTAAATGTTTGTAATTAAATCAGCTTGTAAATTTGAACACTATAAACCCTGCTGGGACTCCAAGAGAAAATATATGTCTGCATCAGACAAGTCTACATTATTAATCACTGAAATTGTTGCAGGAGAACTATGTTCTGTCATTTTTCCTTTCAGCTCCTTAAGTAATATACTACCTGTTTGATTTGACTACATTTCCTTGCCAGCTCTGTTAGAACTTTAATGCATTTATGACCAGGTTTTTTGGTAAACAATCTGTTGTTCTTTTTTAACATGTGAAAAATTCAAACTAATTTTTCCTCTTAAATCTGTCTCCTTCTGTTGCTTTGTTCTACTCAGCTTCAAGCTCAGTTCTGTCCCTCTGTTTAAACTTTGTCACATTCCTCTTTTGACACAGGTCCTGGTGCTCTGATCAGCTCCTTGTCAGTACCCCACTAAGCTGCTGTGGTGGTGGTTTCATTGTTGGTTAGGCCACAGCTGTGTTTGGTTGAGCTGCTCTGGTTCCTCAGGCCAGTGGGTTCCCACTGGTGTTGACCCTGGGAGGGATGTTCATGGAGAATTGTCTGTTTCTGGAGTCCTTTGCTCTGAGCAAAATTTGCTGGGCTCTTTTTCCCCTCTGCTTCATTCTATTTCTTGTTGTTTCTTCCTTTCTTTCTTCCACTTAGAGTGATATGTGTGTGTTTTCTAGCATGCATTTAGAGGTTTCTGTTTCTTCATAGGTTTACAGCTTCAGATTGCTTCCTAATATGCTACATGTGGTGCCATTTATGTGTGTTAGGTGTTCTTTGTTACCCTTAAATCTAATTTTGTACAGTTTTCAGGTCTGGAGGGGTTTGATTTTTAACTGAGAGTGACAGATGTTCATAGCATGGACTCTTACATGTCAGGCTTCTGGTTCATCTGTTACCTGTTTTCTTCCGTGCCACATCATAAACATGACAGCAATAACCAAAACACAGTGTTATCAGCATTATTCTCATACTAAATCCCAAAAACACAGCAGTGTACCAGCTACTAAGAAGAAATGTCCCAGCCAAAACCAAGACAGTTATGTATGGTGTTTCTTTCAAAGTAGTTTATATGTAAAGCCTTTGTGATTTTTGATACTTTAAATTAACCAGTTATTAAGCTGCTAAATTGATTCATTAGGCTAGTGAGTCTCAAAGACTTAGAATGATACTGTGCTTCCAGACTGTCTTCAGGACAGTGTATGTGGATGTGCTGTGCTTGTTTCACCAGCACTTGTGTGAGCTGAGCAAAAACAGAGGGAAATGGTGGAGTGCACATGTGTCTGCTCTGGGCTGATTTAAAGCTGCACATGGTGGTCACAGCTCTACCTGCCTGGGTGGGCTGCACCTGAGATACCTAAAGGTACACAAGTCTGTTAGGTTTTACAACCCAGAATGAAACAGATTTTTGATTTCTTGCTCTCAGGAGTAAGTTGCCTGGTCTTGGTGATAACTTAACTTAAACCTCTTTCCTTTCTTGTCCTGTAAGCAAACTACATTTTGGCAAAATCTTTTTCTTGCTCTTTATATCAGAGGAAAGGATGTTGTATGCATATACCTTTAGAAGTCTTCGAAGAATTCTTAGTCTAAGGTCCCCAGCAAGGCATTTTGTTACTTGATAAAACTTCGGAGTTTTACATTTTTTGGGAATTTCTCCCAAAGAAAAACCAGTTAATTGGTTCTGGTGAGAGCACTTGTGTATGGAGACTTGTACAAGTTGGAGTAAATAATTTTGGTGGGTTTACACTGTGTTTGATTTCGGAGTTCTTTCATATGCATGCTTCTGTAACTACAATAAATATGTTTCCAGCTAGTATGTATTTTTCTTACTGTTATTAGTTAAGTTTAGAGAACGTTTCGACAAAGGAGACAAGGTTGCTGTACATGACAACTGGAGTTCTTCTTCAGAAAATCGTTTCTGCCAAGAGCCTAACTCCGTTCACACACATTTTCATTGATGAAGTAAGTTGCTGGAAGTAAGTTTAATTTTCATCTTAATGAAACCTTCTCTTTTGTCTCTTGCCATGCAAGAGAAGAGAAGTGCAGACATCTACTTTTAAAGGTATTTTATATAAGTTGTCTAAGGTAACACTTGCTGAAATAGGCTTGTTAACGTTCCTTTGAGCAACTAGTTGAGAATTTAGAGTGTGGGGAGGGTTTTTGGGAGTCCTTAATTTTTAATATAGGTGCCTTGGAATGTTTTTTGAAATCCATCATGTGGAATTCAAGAACCTGTCCAGCTAGGCCCGTCAGGAGGAGGCAGCTACTTTTCACTCACTTGGATATTAACAAGTCTTTATTCTTCAGGGGTGTCCTGAAAAATATCTCTGTGAAAGTTCTGTCTCCTGGTTGTGGGTACAGTTCACTCATGAGGATTCATTATTGTTGCTGTCACTTCACTAAGAGGCTAAAGAAAATACACTTGTAATTTGGATATTTTTACATGTGTATATGCTTCTTTTATGTAGTAGGCAATATTTGGCATTTAATCCTAGTCAGATGTGAAATTGTGCTGTCACAAATCATGAATGTAAATCTCATGTAGGACGTACGACATCTTGGGATGTAGTGATACAGAAGAGGGCTTAGGGGTTTGGGGTTTTTGGTTTGGTTTTTTTGGAGGGTGTTTGGTTGGTTGGTTTTTGGGTTGGGTTTTTTTTTGTGTTTTGTTTTAGCTTGAATTTTTTATAAGCGCCATTTTTAATTTTTATCCTGTTACTGGCATTGTAGCTGAGAGCTACTTTAATTCTTGGATATTTGAGGATCAGGGAGGCAGTAGTTTGTGTACCATTAGGCTATTACAGTAACAAGGCTGTCATGACTGCACTTGAAATGGTACACTGGAAACCTGGAAAAGATTGAGGAAGTAGTTAGATTTTTGTATAAGGAAAATTTAATACTTTATTCAAACAGAAAAAGAACAAAAAACCCCCAAAGCTTAAGGAATTGTATCAGTGACTTTCATGGAAAAGATTTGAGCACTCCAGTGTATTAGCAGAGTGTTGGAAACCATAACATTTGCTTTAGTAAGGAAATTCAGGTTAAATGTAGATTCAAAAGCTGAACCATAGAAGATGCACACAGAAAGTGTTATTGCTCCTTTAGTTTTAAGATTTATTCATTACATATGAAAATGAATGAGTTAAGTTTTCTGGCCCCTTACACCGGAGAATGGGTTTACTCAGAGGTTTTCCTAACTTTGGTTTCTTGGGTGCTGTAATTTGAACTGATGTTACTGGCTTGTAGCACTTCCTTCAGCAGCATCCCCTCTGTCAAGACTGTGTTTTTTGCTTCCCCAGCCAGGGTTCTGGTCCCTCTTCATGCCCATATGCCCTCTTTTTCCCCATAGCTACTACAGAGATTGTGATCTTGAGTCCACAAGTCACTGTTTTTAACAACTGAATGTTCTCCACAACATTTTTAATTGCAGGTCTCATCCCTCTCAGGGTACTGCACACATTTAGGACCATACTTAAACTAGGACCAAAAATCTTGGTTCTCACAGCAAGACCTTACTGTCAGCCTGAAAACTACCTTAGCTAAATTTGTTTTTGTAATGGGATGGCATTGAATGGGTCTTATCTTTACATTATATTAGAATATGCTAATTAGCTTCCAGGACATTAATGTTGACTTGTGAAGGCTGAACTCCAAAAAAAAAAGCTGCTGCAATTGAAGTATTTGAACTGTAATTCAAGAAAGGGATATGGTTACATTATATTAGAATATGCTAATTAGCTTCCAGGACATTAATGTTGACTTGTGAAGGCTGAACTCCAAAAAAAAAGCTGCTGCAATTGAAATATTTAAACTGTAACTCAAGAAAGGGATATGGCCATCAGGGATAATGTTGGGAAGAAGTATTTGCTGAATTGTAAGGAGCAGGCAGAAAGTTGGGTGCTAGGATATATAAAGAATTGGGTGTAAATTAATGTTTTAGAAAGCAATTTTGTATTGGATCATAGCTGGAAGCCATTGGGAATGAGGCACATTATTTGATTTGCTTATTTTCAGACAAAACAAAACAGTCCCTGGATCATTTGGGTTCTTACCAGTATAGTTGATTTACCCAGCATCAGTATCACAGACTTCATCTGCTGCTGTCAGCTCTAGTACAGCCAGTGGTTAGAGCTCAAGACTGATTTTTCTAGTCATTATTCTAGGTTTGCTTAGCTTTAGAGTGACATGATTTTCACAAAGGGTTCTGTAGTCATCTGAAGACTCTTGTTGGGATTTTAAAGTGTTCTTAGCATGCCTAGGCTCAAAAGGTGTGTGCTTTCTTCTATGAAAATGTATTGTTATCCAAGTTGTTATCCAAAAATAAAGCATAAAATTGAGTAGGAGAGTAAGAGATTGTCAAAAAGAAGAGGATGAATTAATGAAAATTAAATTGTGGATAATGTCTTCCAGGTGCATGAGCGTACAGAAGAAATTGATTTCTTGCTCTTGGTGACCCGTAAACTGTTGTGTACAAATTCACAGTCTGTAAAGGTGGGTTCATACTGAATTCTTCTGTTTTTTCTTGCTAGAAAATGTTTGCATTATTATGTTATTACTTATTACTAAAATATTTTTTAGTTTGCAACTCCTCATAAGTAAGCGAGCTAAGGGGCATTCTTTTCCTGGCTGCTGTCATGTGTTCTGAGAGACTTCTTTTTTTTTCTCTCATGTTAAAATGCATTAGTTTCTAAAGCCTGCTTAAGGCTAAAAAATGCACGATGGATATTTGACTAGAATTACGTATTGAGTATTGAGGGCAGTGCTTATTCTTGGTTAAAATGGTAGCATTAACTCCTGGAAATACTGAGCCTTGTTGTTTTAAGTGGGACGACATATTTAAAGAAATAACAAAAGACCAGAAGTGCTGGACTGTGATTTCTGGGCAGAACTGGTATCAAAATTTGGCTGAGGTTTTTTCTCTGCATGTTGGGCAGTTCTGCTTTGTACTAAAGCAGAGTTCACAGACTTTAAGCATGACATGTTTAGTCTTTGGGGTCTCAAAGTATTGAACTCTTGAAATGTTAGAGATTAAATACAAGTGATGGAGTTAGGCTAACCCAGTATCTTCCTGTGCTGCTATTTGGGACTGCAGATCCTTTGTTAAGGCTGCATGTCTCTTAAGTGCTTCAAGGTAATGGTTTAATGTGATTTTTTTTCCTGATCTAAATAAAGTCTAGGTTGGCTGTTTCTGTTGCCATTGGAAGGAATGATGTGTTCTTATGTGCAGTCCATCACATTGATTCAGACTTGGTCTTCAGGTCTTCCAAACATTCTGTCACTTGAAGTGCCCTTTCATTAGGTGTAGGACATGGCTGTGCACTTCACATCTTTCACTTTTTATCCCTTTTCATGCTGATTGAGATTTTAGAGAAAATTCTCGTCTTTAGATTTCGAGACAGTTATGTGAAACTATTCAGCCTTTTTTAGCACTTGGTTCTGCCTACAGAGAAGAGCAATAATTTCATCAAACTGAGTTTGTGAGAAGTTTGTCCTTTATTCTGATTATTGGGTTGGTTTCAGTGGCAGGAATCCCTACAGGCTTTGTCATCTTTTCTGTTAGAAAACATTTTTCTGTAAGAGGTTCCTGACAAATTTTTCATTTTTCTCTATAGTTCCATTTCAGTCTCTTGAAATTGTTACTGAAAAATTTTGTCCCCTTTATATCATTGCCTGCAGTTGTTTCTGCAGATGACCGTTTTTTAATATTGTACAAATCTGAGAGAGACCTATATTTGAGAGAGTGGAGGGCTGTCCCTTTGAATTTTTTTATGAAGAAGGGGGAACTCTTGATCTCACTTGCAGGCCTTGAGCAGAGTACAATGGGCTATTCAGTTTGAATTTATATACTAAGCCCTGTGTCTCATACTTCATCCCTTTTCAGCCCCTTCTGAAAAAATGTAAAGGAAGGGAGCTTTGATGTGGCAAATTCATTTAGAAAATGTAAGGTTCTCCTCCCATCCTCCCTGGGTTCATGAAACAAAAGGGTGCAAGGATCCCTATTTAAGAGAGGAAATGAAACATTTTTAACTCAGGGTGGTATGAAATGTGTGTGAGCTGTTTGTTTCCTAGTTTGGAAGTTGCTGATCTCAGAAGCAGCATGTAATTCAACATCGCATCAACTAACAGGAGTTAGTTGGGTGATTCTGATGTACTGAGGACAAGATCTACCTGCTGAACTAACCAGTTTAAATTATGCTGGATTTTCTGGCAGATTGCTGCTGCAGATTATTATTTTTAGATCACAGAACAGAAGCTGGATTGTTCAGATTGCTGGGTTAGGGTTGTTGAAGGAAAACCTGAGACTAAGAGTGTCTCTATTGGGTCAAACCAAACAGTGCAGTTTCCATAGTGACTAGTAACAGTTCTTGGTATCATCTAGTGGGTCTTTGGACATATCTGTGTTGTACAAGTGGTTTTGGACTGCTTGGTCCTGAACTGTCTTCTTTGATTACTATCTGTTCTGATGTGTTCATCTGCCCCACTGGTGTTTTGTGCTTGTTGAATTTTTGCTTCAGGAGTGCATCAAACTCTTGGTTCAGTTATGTCACCCTTCAGGCACTGTGTTAAGAATCTGTCACTTCTTTCCACTTTGGAAGGATTCCGCACAGATTAGAGTCCCGATTACAGAGATTGTCTGGAAGAAGGGATAGTTTAATATTCCTTTCCTGTAACTGCAGATTTAGATTGGATTTTGTTTTGACAGCCTTCAGAGAAGGATATATTTAGCCTATTGCCCTGGCATAGGTGAGTCACTATGTGTTGAGCCATGAGGCAGTCCATGCTGTAGTGGGACAGATTTCATATATTTGCAAAATTATGTCCTTTCAAATTTCTTCTTTCAGGATCATGTTGAAAAACTTCATGGTTTCGCCTGCCCTTTCCATGTGTTCCTTATGCCTGAGCACAGTGGTACAATGTTGTTTTCATTAGTTTGTCTTCCTGTCATTTTGTAAGGGAGATGCTTTTGTGTTCTGCAGCATTTCTGGTTTGGGTGGTGGTGAGATCTTTATCAAGAGTACTGTATGTTTTTGGTTGAATTTTCACCATGTTGTCTGCCCTAGGCATTCTAGCCTGAGCCATTCTCTTACAGGTGCTTGCCTGTGTCCACATGCTGACTGAAGTATCTTAAGCATTTAGTTTGATTGTCTTAAATATACTTAGGTTACATACTTGTAGTAATCAGAATTAGATCATTTAACTTGAGGAGGAGAGTCCCATGTAACAGGACAATTTGTGTTAAAATTAATGCTTTACATCTGGTGTACATTTTTTTTAACAGATAATATTGATGTCTGCTTCCATCAACTCTAAAGAATTAGCTGATTACTTTGCACTTCCACTTCATAATGGTTTGAATCCAGTCTGCATATTTAAGGTGGAAGGCAGACCTTTTGCAGTTGAAGAATACTATCTTGATGATTTGAAGGACATTTTTGATTTACAGGTATTGTAAATATAATTTCATTTCTTTTGACATAATAAGAAATTGGAGTAGTCAGCTGAAAACTGTGTAATGAAATGACATAGCCACTTTCATATTGCAATTCTAGATAAGAATTAATAGATGATGATGATAAAACAGGAGTCTTCTTATGAGCAGACTAATTTCTTTCATGAAACAGAAACGTTTCAGTAGGATGAGGCATTTTGTTTGATAGTTGCATTCAAAATGAATAGTGTAAAATTGTGGAAAGTAACATAAATAGATGTACAGATCTGTTTGAATATAGCTGACAAAATCAGGGAATATTTCCTGGATTGGTTCATGTTGTTATATATCAAAGGCAGAAAGTGCTATGAAATTAAGAGAAAACAATCATTTTTGATTAGAACTTTGATGTTATCAGTTGGCTTCTCTATCAGCTGAGGCTTTACTATTGTTTTTTTTAATAGTGCCAGAGATGTTATGCAGTAGTCTTGAGCCTTTTTCTATTGTAACCATGTAAAGACCATGGCAAATGTGAAATTTTGAGTAATGAAAACATATTAAAATAACTGATGCCTCTCAGATCCCTGGAGGGCTGTGCTGGAGAACTGCTTCTCTGATGCTTAAGGAGAGTAGGTGCTGGCTGAAGATATGTTTGCTTTATCAATCTAGCTCATAAGCTACGCAGAATGTATTTTGTATATTTTGTTTTTAGAGTTTCTGACATTATAGCAGGTATCTGTGTAGACATCAGATAATGAAGGAATGAATGTAAATATGTGATCTGTTTTCTGTGGTTTTATAATAGGAGTTTGTTTCACATTTGAAAAACAGCTGTGTAGGAATTCACTTGAGCGAGCTCTTTCAGTATTATGGTCCAAGGCAAAATAAACAGGTTAAGGCAGAGTACAACAAATGCACTCAGGCCTGTATTATGATACCCAGTATAAAAATAACTGGGGTGTGGGTGTAATTATTAGTCAGTTTTGATAATGCAAAACACTGTTAGAATGTTATTACAATGAAGGAGTTGGGACATGCACTTAAAAAGTACCGGGGGGCGGGAAACACACTGTTACTATTCAGGTTTCATCCATCAGTTGTGCAGAAAATAAAACAGCAAAATAAAATAGGAAGCCCAGAACAAAAGAATTGCTTATGCTGTACACATAAGCAATATGTGTTCATATTGGCATTGGTTATGCTTCAGCACAGGCAAGGTAAAATACAAGGCTGTCAACTGTTGAAGTTCTAATGCAACAAACTCACTGCTTATAGCAGTTGGCCCATCAGCATTTTTACATTAGTATCACAGATAATAGGGAGGAGATTATGTAATACATGGGGCTTTGTAAAAGATTTTTCATGATGACAACAAAAAGATAACCAGGAAATTGAGTAAGAAGTTTCCTTCAGTCAAATTTGATTTGTAATAGCTGCACTTGGAGCTGAATGTCAACTTGCACACTTTTCGCCTCAGAGATCACGAACAAAGGAACTGCTTTCAGTGCTTAGCCCTTTTTATACTTTTTTATTTTTTCTATGTTTTTTATTTAAAGTTTTCATCTGATTCTTCATCTTGTGTTGTCCTATCTATAGCCATTCTGTTTTTCAGCAAGATGGGGATACTGTGTTTGTCCAGGATATTTCTTGTGACTTAGGGCAACAATAGAAGCACATAAGCGTTCTTGATTCTTTTCTTTTATGTCTGTATTAAAAAAAAGGATGACATTGAATTCTAAAGCACTGATTTTTGGTCTGGATCTTGTTCCTTATGGTGCTGTGTGTGAAGATTTTCTCCAAATAGTAGTTACAATTAAAAAACCTAAAATGTCGAAGGTCTAAGATGGTTTGTGTAACATCCTAATAATATGAAAGTGGAATGTGAGTATTAAGACAGTTAATGAGTTAATGCTGCCATATGGAGGCTGAGGCACATTTTTCATCATGCTAAAATCTAAACCAGTTAGATAACTGCCTGAGGTACAGGCTTCAGGCTTTAATTCTTGATGTTTTATTTTCACCTATAAAAGCCTGTAAAATTTACATAAAGGAACATAGCACTTAAAAGTAAATGCAGTCATTGCTCTTTAGATAAACAGAATTTTTCCAAGTTAACTTTTGATTTTAAAATTAATAACTGTAAAACTACATTACATAAATCTTCAGTCATTTCTTAAAGCATCTCAGTCAAAATCAGTTTGGGTCTTTGTAATTGTCTCTTGGTTGTGAGGTGTGAATCTTCATCCCTTCTCAAAAAATATTAAAATAATTGGATGTTACTGCAGAGATGTAGAATTCTTCCATGAATCCTGCAGAGCTTTTGGCTTTAATACACTCCTTTCTGCATGTGATGTTTTAAAACTGTGCTTGAAAATAAAAATTTTAGGGGTAGTTTTGACTTGAATAATTTGTCAGTTCATAGATGCTGTTGTAATTTGGAAGATGAACAGAAATGCCAGTCATTATTTATTCTTCTTCTGTATGCATGTTTGCAGTAAACTCTCTGCTGTGGCTAGACAGACATCTAGCTGAACCAAAGATAAAGCTTTCTACTTGAATTACTTCATTTATAGGAAAGAATAAAAATAAGGGAGAAACATTTCTCAGTGTAGCACTGGCTTACCCTTGCCCGGATACTGGGTCATTTATAGGTGTGCTTCTTAATTTTTGAGTATAAGCTTGCAAAAAACTAGTTTATTTTTCTTGTGGCATAATGGGCTTGGTAAACACGTTGTTCTGGGTGTTTAACAGAATAATGATTTTGTCATACCAGCAACCTCTAAGCCCCAAGGAATCATTGAAACACAGGTTTAATGAAAAATGCATGAAGGTTGTATCTATAGGCAATTTTAAAGCTAGTTGTGTAAATGTTTGCCTTTTGTTCTGTACAGTGTTCGAGATATGAAATGCAAATTTAAGAAATTAAGCAAAATTCAAAAATGCAACCCATTTTTGGCTTGCAAAGGTAAAAACTCCTTCATGTCCATGGAACTAGAGTCAGAATCCTGATGGAAAGTAGTGAGCTGCTGTCAAAAGCTGTTCTGATTATGTTGTATTATTTCAGTCAGGTCTGACTGGGGTTTGGATTTGCTGTTTGTCACATTGTTACCTTTTATTAGGAGTGATGTGGAAGCCTTGTCGTGTTAGAGAATACTAAAGGTACAATCAGTAGCAAAATTGAAAAGACAAATTTGACAGTTATTTAAGCAGGGATAGTATAAACCAAAAAATCTTAAATTGGAGCAGCCCAGAAGAGAGAACTTGCTTAGATTTTTCACATATATTGCAGAAAAAATCACTTCGAAGAAAACAATCAAGGTTTTTAAGGTTTCTCATGGGCTAATCAGCCTGAGGACTGAGGCTGCAGAAGCAAATACTGATCTAAATCAGTGTTTCCAGACTGGTTCTAGGAGCTGTGCTTTTGTGATTGTTATGAGCTCCCTTTACAATGGGAAACTGGTAGAAAAATTACTAACTTAATTTGAGTAGTTCAGATAGTGAAGTGGTCTGTGATTTTAGCTCTCTGAAACACTTGGTTCAGTAAAGAGTTCACACTAGACTGAGGAGAATCTCTGAGTGAAAGGTGAGCAATGATCAATAGCTATTTTCCCTACAAGAGAAAAACTTATAATGCTGTAGACCTTTTTCATAGCAGGTCTAGTTCATTAAGCATAAAATGGAAAAGTGATTAAGTTACTGTCTTTGCTCTGAAGACTTGATGGTTTGTGTTCTTAAATACTGAAGTTTTGTGTTCTTAAATACTGAGTTTGTACAGAATGCTGGAAAACAATGTAGACAGAATCACCATGGTTCTGTTGAGTGCAGCAGAACAGTAATTATTTGGCAGGGTGTGACCAAAACCACAAAACCCATTAAATGCAAAATCAGTTTAAAGGAGAATGAGGTACATGGTTTATGTGCAGGCAGGTAGAGAGATCTGTGTAATAGCAGCTGTGAGAAGCACTCTACCTTCCCTACACAAATTCCTCCCTGTCATCCTGTTCCCATGAGTTCTGCTCAGTTCCCATGTGCTTGACACTTCAGGATAAGGAGCATGTTCTGCAAATGAATCGGGGGTGGGCTGGTGCTTAAGTAGGTAAATATCAGAAGTATATCTTCAGCATTAAAATTGTAGGATGCTTGAAGAAAAATTTCTACTAAGAAATTTCTTCCATTTAGAAGGTAATGAGTGCATCAGATGAAGTTACTTCTTCTGTACTGGATCAGTTTGAATTGAAAGCACTTGAGAAATTGAAATACATATGTGAACTGCAGTCTTTTAGCCAGTTATGCTGTGTTAACCTCATTACCTCCTTATCCCAACAGTTTCATCGTGAGAGCCTTGGGGAACCAGTGATAGAACAGAAAATGTACCAAGTGGCAGTGTCTCTGATTCAGTCATTTGATGAGCTGGAAAAGAGCAGTCGGTAAGATGCAGTTCAGGATCTGGAATCAGTGTCTCTTGGGGAAATGAGAATCTAATTAGGCAGCAGCAGAGTCCCTAGTTATTAGTGGAAACATAATTTTTACTTGCATCTCTGCCTTTATTTTACATATTTGTTTGATTTGTACCCTGTGTTCCTAAAGTGTACTTCATGCCCTGAAGCGTGAGTGACTATTCAAGGCAGCCATGTCGTATGGAAAATATATTCTTTACTGCAGACCAGAGCTGAGGAGTATTTATATCAAGAGTTATATAAATATAAATGATACTATTTTATATTCTAGCCTAAAACATACGTAATCTCAAGGGAAATAAAGGATAAAAGCTAGGCATTAATTTTCACTGGCTGTTTAATGCTTTAATGTCATGTGAAATAATGGATTTTGCTGTTCTGTGTGTTTTGTAAATTGATGCTTAGTAGCTGAAGATGTATTATTACATGTGATATTCAGATGTGATATCTGAAAATGTAATAAAGTTACTTCTACCACTTTTGGCTAATACTCTGTTAGGTAACCTAATTCTGATTATTTTCATTGCAGAATGAGAATGTTTCTGTTTTGTCATAGTTTTGAAGAAAAACACTAAACCTATTGCTCTGGTTCTGGTGTTTATATCTTGCATTTTTCAGAAAGCAAAGTTGCAAATAATGGTTGAAATTTCATTTCTTCAAGAAGTTTAAATAATGCATGTTACAAAAAGTGTGCACTTCTGCTTGTTCTTCCAGAATAAAATAACTTGGTGTAATGAGGTAGATTGATACTGTAAAACTAAGAAGCTGTGTTTTCTTGTTAGGGAGAAAAAGAGCTGGAGTGGTACATTGGAACGTGGCAGCGTGCTTGTGTTTTTGCCAGGTGAGTATATGTCTTAACTTTCTTTTTTGTTATTTGTCACCTAATGAGCTTTCTTCTGGCACTTCTTCCAGGATTTATCAAACACATACTTAAATGAGGTCTCTTTGGGCATTTTTTCTTGGAAACTGGTTTAATTGTGGCAATAATTGGAAAAGCTGTAAGTCAGAAATTAACATGTTAGGTATTTTAAAAATAATAAAATTAATTCTGTAGTTGAACTGCAGAAATGCAGTTGCTACGTTTTTTAGTGCAATTATTAATTGTTGTATGAAGCTCCTAGGATTCTTTTAGAGGTGTTTCCTTATCTGCATATAGTGTGGTCTTCATTTAAATTGTTGTAAAAGCTCACATTCGTGTTTTTCTTTCCATGTACATTGGTTCATGTGGTTGGCATGCTCAAAAGTGCACATGATGACATAGAGATTATTGATCAGAAAACTGGCTTTACATGTAGTCTTCTTTAAGGATTAAAACCTAAGTTGTCTTGCACAGAAATTATTGTAGGCTTCTGTTTTGACTGCCATTTTTATTTAAACTCATTAGCTGGACTTTTGAGGCAATGTAACTAGCCTGCAGAGTAGTTTTCCTGAACATCATAAATCTGTTAACCTGGTGGTTTCAAATATTCTTTTACTTTAGGTGCTGAACATTTGTTAGTTGAAAACTTGGAAAAGATTTGGTTGTGTTCAAGTGGAGAGTCCCCTTGAAGTCCAGGGCAGCTGTCCCTTGGACACAGTGAAGTCTGCCCCTACCAGGACTTCCTAACTCTGTAAAATGTTTATGAATGTCATCTCCCTGCTGCGTTGAGCTTAGGAATAGGCATGCCAAGGCTGGGGCTGGAATCCCAGCACACCAGCTGAAAGATACACTGCACATGCAGAGCAGCTTTCCTTGGAGAGTGCTCCCACTAGCTAAATGGCATTAGAGCTGCCTTTCTTGGAACTACATTCACTATAAAATTAATGGATAGAAGGAATGACTTCATTGTGTCAATGTAATGCCCATTCCAGTTTGTGATTAATAAGGTAGGGGAGACCATATCTCTTGCCTCTGGCCTCTGATATTGGTGTTTGCCTGGTGTATTTTACTTTCTCAGCCCCTCTGAGGCTTCATTCCAGTCGGAAATTACTCCTTAGCATTTTCAAATCCTAAATCTTTATCTTTCATCTTGAGTTGGTTTTTTGTTTGTTTTGTTTGTTTGGTGTTTTGTTTGTTTTGGTTTTTAATTTTGTTTTGGATTTTTTTTTTGTTTAAATACATTTAGTAAATTTGTGGAAACTTGTGTGGTAATAATCTGGTACTCTCAGGTTTGTATTTTATTTGTTCAGTGTTTGACCTTGTCTGGTTTTAAACTGGATACTCAAGACTGATCCTGAACACAGGATTAGCAAACGCCCCTTGAAATTTTCCTCACAAATGTTTTATACAGAGCTGGAGAGCAGGGGAGGTGAGCCCTCAGTTTACACTGAGGCAGAGCTTTGGGTTATTTTTACGCATTTAACATCCACATTTAGGAAGTTGATTTGAGATGCTGCTTTTTTTTTTTAATTTTTTTTTTTTGAGTGCTAACTATTACATAGCATTTTGAACATTAAAAATAACACTCCCACTGACTTGTCAAGTTGAGTGTGCAGCAGCAGCCAAAAAGAGCAGTGCTGTGCTGAGGATGCTGTTAAGTGATATTTGCCCACTGTCTTTGTGGAACTCAGTGATGGGGCAGAGTCTGATTCCAAAAGGAGCTGCAGCTTTCTCAAGTAGGATGCCATGTTTTCCCTTCTAATTGCCTGTCTTGATCACTGCTCAATTTTTTTTTTTTTTTTTGTAATGCTAAGTCTGATTCTGTATAGATAAGTATTCTTCAGTACTCACCTCTGCTTTGGTTCCAGAACTTGTCTCTCTGTAGGTAACAGGTGATACAAAGTGCCATGTAAAACTGTAGAGTAATTTTCTTAACATGCATGCATGAATATGTTCCCAATGATCTAATTTTATCTGTTCTGCTGGTGTTGATCTAATTTTTTGTCTGTTCTATATTTTCTTCTGCACTTCTCCATGCCCTGCTCTCCTTACTGTCCTTGTATGTTTGCCAAATAGGTTGTGTTACTGGTTCCCATTTCATTCTGAGACCTTTGTCTCCTGGTGGCGTCCTTGTGTTCTGTAGGTGTCATGGTCGATCAGCTCTTGTGACTTCTGAAACTGGTCAGCAGATACGTCCTGCTGTGTCTAGTCACTAATTACTAGACTGACTAATAATTTCTGTTAACAGTGATGATGCAGAGTCTGCTCTGCCAAACATGAATCAAACTTCTTTTAGTTGTTTTTAATTGTAAATACAACCTCCATGGAAGTCCACTGTGGGACAGGTTTTTGAAAATTTGGAATTGAAGTCTCAATAAGAAGTAAACTAAGCTTCTCAGAAAGGTTTTATGTCTGTGGAGGTATTCAGGAAAATAGAAAAAATCCCTCAGTCATAAGATTTCTCCTGGCAGATGTGAAATGCATGCCCCAGAAAATGGGCACTGAAATGACCAAAAGTGAGATGGCTAAGACAGAAATAGGTATTTTTTTTTTCCCTTGGCCCAGTTCTTTGAAAGAACTTGTTTTGGCAGAAATACCCAATTTTAGCCTAAACCAGACAGATATTCAGCATGTGTTGTCAGTTGTAAGAAACTGAAACAAGGACTAATAATGGAATGTTGTCAAATGGCCTTTATATCTTTATTAAGTGTAAAATTAATGCCAAATGGTTCTTCAAAAATTTACTGACTGGTTTTCAGAGTTTTATTATTATGTTTGCTGTTTAATTCTTCTACCATTTTATTATATGGTAAAAAAGAGGTAATAATGACAGGCAGTTAATAGTTGAAGTAGATATTTTTCAATTGTTCCTGATGACTAAAATGAAAAATTAAACTTATGATTATTTTTCCCTAGGTTTAGGTGAAATAAGATACATGCATTCATGCCTCTCAGATAAATATCAAAGGTAAGTTAGACCACATTTGTTTCAATTCAGTTAAACCTGAATATGAGTCTTACAGCTGTATGAGTTTTAGGTGCATAATAGGGTTTAGCACAGAAGTGTAATCAACTTTAATATTCTTGCATCAGTAAATACTTCATGAATATATTTTTTTAGGTGGCAAGTCTACCCACTTCATGCATGTGCAACATTGGAGGAACAAAGTAAAGTATTTTCAGCTACAGTTCCTGGCTACAGAAAAGTAAATATTTTTAAATCATTACTTTTTTAAAGCATGTGAAACCTTTTGCTAGAGTGCTAATGGCAAATAATAGTGTATTTAAGTAATATTAGCTGTTCTAACTCAAACCATTGTATGAGGACAAAGAACTTCAGTTTTTCTGTGTGTAAACTGATGGCCTTTCTTACCAAGCTGTTGTATTAACTGGTGTGCAGACCTCAAGAGAGGTGCATTAGCCTTGAGGAAGTTACCCTTAAACTATTGCCTGCTGATGTTTTTATCCTTCAGAATGGTTTGTGCATGTTGATTCTTGCACCTCCATGACAGGGGAGTGCTGCTGGTGTCACTGAACAGCAAAGTAGTGCCCCAGTGTGGGAGACTGTCCCACTGTGTGCCCCGCATTGTCACTGCTGCCTTGGTTTTTTTTCATCTGCTATTACTAAGAGAGTATTGCTGCCAATAGTGTGATGTTTCCTTATGGCAAAGGCACAAGGAAATATATCCATTCTTCCTCTACACTGTCCTAATGCTACACTACATTATTATGCTTTTTGGAGCTCAAAACGAGAAAATACAAGGGGTTTTGTATTGTCCTTGCATGGTATTGCTTTTTTTACTATGCAGAGCAGAAATGCTGTGTTGCCATTGTAGTTATATTTCTTCATAGCAAGTTGGATTTTTCATGTAGAAACATTAATGGAAGTAATTTTTTGTTTATGCATTCCTTGCTCTTTTTTTGCTTCAAAACTCAGGTTATCCTGGCTACCAATGTAGCTGAGAGCTCTGTAACAGTTCCTGATGTTAAGTATGGTAAGTTGTCTGAGTCTTCTAATTCTCTATACGTTGTGTTTGTAATATTTTCCATACTTGTGCTGGGTTTGGTCTCCCGGATATGTCACTGTTCAAAGCACTGCTGTTGGCATGTTGAATTATTTCTTTCACAACAGAAAAATCTGAATATATGAGCCAGTAGAGCTACTGAGTGGGAGGTGGGTTTGAGTCTTCACTAAGGGGTAATTTTAAATGCAGTAACAAGCAGAGCCAGACCTCATATCACAAGTTAAGATTTTTAATCACATTCTGACTATGTTTTGAAATAATCACATCAGTTTAAGCAAATTTTCATTAAATGCAGAAATGATTGCCTTTTAAGGATTGCCATCTACAATGATTTATTATTTTTATACTAAGATCTGTTAGGAGCTTGATTAGTATTCAGAATATCTTGGGTCTGATTATTTATAAATCTGATGTTCTTTTATTGCTATTCAAGTTATTCAGACTTTTCTGATAATACAGATTATTCTTGTGTATTTCTTTCCACTGCCATGAGGAATTTTTTTTTTCTTACTTGCAGTGATAGATTTCTGCTTAACTAAAATTTTGTTTTGCGATAAGGAAACTAATTACCAAAATTTGAGGCTTTGCTGGGCATCTAAGACAAACTGTAATCAAAGAAAAGGTAAGATGACAATAGGTAATGCAAAGGAATTTTAGAAGTTGACCTTCATGAACAATTCTTTGTTGCTTTTTCTTGTATTAATAGTAAAAAAGCCAGATTATTTTGGCCATTAATACTTGATAAATCTTTACCATGTCATGATATAAAAAATGGGATTAAACACCTCTGTATGAATGATTTTTTTTTTTTCTCAAGTATATTTGCAGAGGAATGTTTTGTATCTTATTGAAAAATATTAAAATCCACAGACCATGTATTCTTTGGTATTTAATAGGAAGTTTTTTATCACAGACCATTTTTGAAAAGGGGGAATATGTACTGCTAAGTATTTATGAACTGCTTGTGAGCTGCAGCAGATAAAGGAACTTTCATGTGTATATGTCACTATTAATGAGTTGAAATATCCACAGCAGTGTTTCTAGTTTACACCAGTGTTCATAGCACAAGGATAAATAAGATTCTGTATTGTCTCTTCTAGTAAGACAGGCCTCTTAAATATCAAAATCTTTTTAGTGTCAGACAAAAATAATACTAAATAAATTAATAGCAGTGATATCTTCAGATCTAAAAAGACTGTAATTTTTAAGTATTATGAAGTCTTTACAATTACAGCTGGGTGCCAGATACCCACCAAAGCTGCCCTGTCACTCCCCTCTTCTCATCTGGACAGGAAGAAAAATGGTGATAGAAGGCTCAGGGTTTGAGATGAAGACAGGGAGATCACTTAGCAATTACCATCACAGGCAAAACAGACTCAGCTTGGGGAAATTAGTTTAATTTTATTACCAAACAAATCAGTCTTGGGTGGTGAGAAATAAAGCCAAATCTTAAACAGCTTCCCTCCACTCCTTCCCAGGCTTGGACTCACTCCCAGTTTCTCTACCTTCTCTGCCCTAGTGGTACACAGGGATGGAAATTGGGGATTGTGGTCGGTTCATCATGCATTCTCTCTGCTGCTGCTTCTTCCTCACACTCTTGCACTGTCAGATATGGGGGAAGTTTCCAGCAGCTTCTTACAGAAGCCACCCCCTTTCAAGACCTCACTGTGAGCCCATGAGCTGCAATATACAGGTTTATTTCCATTTGGTTCCAAGTCAGCAGAGGTCACAGCAATCAGCCAATGTAGCAGAAGTAGCATTCTGTGTAGAAGACTTGGGCTCGTTGTGCATGTGGCTTAAAAATGTGGCCTGATTCTCTAGTGGAGTATCCCACAGAGAGGAGTACCCTTTAGCTGGTTAAAGTGAATGGTGTTTGGATTTATGAAGACAGACTTCTGAGTCATTGTGTTTTCTGTAAATAGTAGATCATAAAGACGTTTTGCTGTTTATCATTGTAGCTTAAAAGTTGTTTATATTGAAGATTTATTTTCTAGCTATAGAGTCAAATAGGAAATGCCTGTTCAACTGAGAAAAATGGCTGTTGATTTGAGGGCAGTTATGTGAAAGAGGTATTTGAGTGAAATAGTTACGTAATTCTTTTGTTAGTTACTGCTCCTATGAAAGTAAAATTTTTTTGTCCTACCCTTCTGTGTCCTCTGGGCTTGTCTGCTGCAAGAGAGCAGAACACTGCTCAGCCTGCAGCATCAGCTGTCGTGTGCTGCTCAGCTGCCCAGAGGGTTTGTAGATGGATGGGTTTGGAAAAAACTTGTGCAATTTACAAATTGGTGATTTGTTCTTTCATGTGAAGGTCGTGCTGGACGTGTTTCCAAAGGCTATTGTTACAGGCTCATACGCAAGGACTTCTGGGCAGACTGTATTCCAGAGAAGTCAGAACCTGAGATGCTGGTAAGGCTTTTGGGTTTAGGATTAGGTTTCCTTTAATGCATGTAGTCACAGCAGAGAAGCTTTGCTTTACTTTCTGTGAAGATGATTGGAATAGTTACTAATAACTAATCGCAATGACTAGAATTCAATATGATAACTATTTGACGAAGATCATTCCACATAGTTTCCTTATAGAAGGATATACATTATAGCAGTAAAATTGATGTGGGTTAGAAATAAGCAATCCATTCAAAAGAAAACAAGCCCTTGCTGTACACAATTGACTTCAGATTTTGCTGAATTGTAAACTTAATTTTTCATGTAAAACACTTTGTCACACTTATCATGAGGGTAGAGTAACAATAATCTTGTCTTCCCTTCAGCATTGTCCATTAGGATCTACAGTCTTAAAATTAAAGAAGCTTGATATGGGGGAACCAAAAGCCTTGCTGGCAACAGCTCTTTCTCCACCCAGTGTAGCTGACATTGAACGTACAATACTTCAGCTGAAAGAGGTAGGCTTCCTTTTACTGTTGTCAAAATCAAGGTAATAGGAATGTACTGCAGAAGTGGTTTTGTTTGTATTTAAGGTAGCAGTAGTCTTAACTGGAACCTCAGATATGAACTGTGTCTAGAAAGTCTTTCACACCTTGGTCTGTTGTTGGGTTTCCATCCTTTTGAGCATAATTTCTGTAGTTACATCTTTAAATCACTATTGTAATTTCATTGGGGAGTAATGATACTCTTTGAGGACTAGAATCTATGGTGAGAAAGAACAGAAATAAACAAAAAAAAACCCTTGGTAAGCGACATTGTTTATGAATAAGAAAAAAAACCAGACTCTTAAAACGTGTGATTTATAGAGGTCAGCCTGAAGATACCCTTCTCACCTGTACAAGGAGGATAGTGATTTTGATTTTCAGTTACAAAGATAAGGGACAATTTTCATTGCATTAAACTTTTTTCTTTTCCAAAGTGCATAAGAAATAATATTTGCATCATTTGTAGCTTGCTTTTATATCCAGTATATGTAGTAGCTTTGGTTTCAAAAGTACCAGGCTTTAAAACCTGTCTTAGGTTTACTTAGTCAGCTTTTACAACTGAATACATTTTGCTTTCTCTAGCTTGGAGCACTTACAACCTCTGTGCGAACAGAAGATAATCTGCATGATGGTGAGCTGACTTTCTTGGGAACGATATTGACACAGTTGCCAGTGGACCTGCATCTTGGAAAACTGATAGTCCTTGGGCATGTCTTTGGTTGCTTAGAGGAATGCCTCATTATAGGTAACTGAAAGAAGAACATGTGAGAACATTTCTCTAGAACCAGTTGATTTGCAGGTTTTAATTTTGATTTGTTTTTGTTGTAGCTGCAACACTGTCTTCGCGGAATTTTTTTGCAGTACCTTTCAAAAAGCATGTTGATGCATACAGGTAGTGCCCCAGATGTTTTATAACTTCCTAACTATAATTGAGAGCAGAGGGCAGGGTTGACTGATCAATATAATTTTCTGTGTCATGAGTCTTATTTTCTGTTAAAATTCCAAGCAGTGCACAAAGAAGCTTTTCCGAGTAGCTGACACTGGAATCTGTTTGCGAACGTAAATCACAGAGCTAACTCATTGTTTCCTGAGCACAAGGCTGGTTCTTCAGCTTTGCCTTTCTCATGTGGTAATGTCTATTAAAATGCTTCTTTAAATAGCAAGGACAATTACTTGTTATTATCCTGCTCATACAGAGCATCTCCTTCAGCGAGGAGACGTGAATAAGAACAAGTAATTACAAGAAGTGTATTGATCATGTTTATTAAAGACATGGAGGGTATTACTGAGCTGTGTAATACATGCAATATTTGAAAAACATATTGTTGCTAATAGTTTTTGTTTGTACTGACAGGAAAAAAATGTTTTTTGCTGGGAATAGTAGGAGTGACTGTATTGCAATTCTGAATGCATTTAGGGTAAGTCTTTCGTTGCAGCTTAGATTACAGTGAAATCTGATAGACCAGCATGAAGGTTCTCACTTTTGTAGGATCAGTGCAGCATTTTTACTTTAGCAGTTGTTAAAAACTTCACATTACTGATAGCTGCATATTGATGTTTTTTGCAGTCTTGGTCCAGCTGTGTAAAGTTTCAGTTGTCTCTAATAGCCAAAAATGAAATGCCAGAAATGTGGTGATGTTTGTAGATTGTTTTTAACCAAGGGCAGTTTGGACTGGTAAATTCTGGTACAGAATGAGTTTGATGACCTTTCTCGAAACTTCTTAGCTTTGGGATGGGTAAAGTTTCAGTTGTCTCTAATAGCCAAAAATGAAATGCCAGAAATGTGGTGATGTTTGTAGATTGTTTTTAACCAAGGGCAGTTTGGACTGGTAAATTCTGGTACAGAATGAGTTTGACCTTTCTCAAAACTTCTTAGCTTTGGCTTTGGGATGATTTTGTGCAAATGTTATTTTTTGGTACTCTTGGCTCTTTGGTGGCTCAGTACCATGGACAGGGGTCAGTTCCTCCAGATAGAGGCAGAGCTGATACAGCACAGCAAAGGCTTCTGCTAGAGGAACTTGCTGTTCAAATTCCAACATTTTCTGTAATGCATGCTCTGGTGGGTTTTGTAATCTTCTGGAGAGTCCAAAATCTTCAGCTGCTGATTTAATTTATTCTCCTGTTTTTGAGCATGTTGCCCTTCAGTCAAAATTGACTTTTTTTAAATCCTAGTCTGCTGTTAAAATTTTTTTTAAACACACATGGGCATGTATGACACATGCATCCACTAATCCTGAGGCTCAAAAATAATAATTTCTGAATTCCCCATGTCCTGTTATATATTTCCATTTCCCTTGTGTCACCTGGTAATTATCACCTGTTCATCTGAAGATGCTGTTTCTATAAAACAGTATGTTCTCCTGGAGAATAAACATGAACATTCAGATAGAGCTTCCAGTGAAGTATCTCTTTGTGTGAGTGATGTGAAATCTTTGTTTTGAATTGCTGAGTATCAGAAAAGAACAGGTAAGTTCAGGACAGTTTGTTTCCAAACTCCTTGATTTAGGTTGGATTCCTTCTTTTCTATCAAGGTGGGGAAATGCAGTCTGGCTGTTCTTGCATGTAGTCAGTGTCCCCAGTAAACTGGATTATTGTATTATGAGGTGACTTGCTGTCAAACTAGAAATGGATTCTGCAGGCATCTGTCATAAGCTGCCTAATAATGAAGTAATTTTCATTAATATGCTGTTGTTTTAATTTCTCTACCAGCCCTGTTTTCTGGGAGGCATTTGCATCAGAACTTACCTGAATCAGTAATTTCACTGCTTTTGTCCCAAAACAAGGAGTGAAAAAAAGAATGGTTTTGCAAGTAATCTACTTTATTACAGTGTCAAATTAAAGCATCCAAATTGTTCTGATAATCTGTGGATGTTTGCATGTGCTTTAACACTCTGTCCGTTTCCTCTCATAAAGCCAGGTGGACAGCCTGTTGTTAAAAAACTACCTTCAGTGTTGATATAAAAAAAAACAACTTTAAAATTGTAAATGTCATGTTAATATTTGTAATAATTATTACTGAAGCATTACATTTTGTATCTGAATACTATACTATTTTTTCTTAGGCATGGCAGGCCTTCAAAGAAAAAGGGAAGCTGAGAAATCCCAAGGTTAGTTAAAATTTTTCTTCTTCTCTATTCAACGTTGATGACTTAAGTGCTGGAGTATTTTATTTTCATAGTAAATATGAAAAGTAAGAAGTTTTTTGCTAGCAATGTTTATTTGTAATAATTATGACTTTTTGTACATAAATAGGCTAGGCTTTGTGAGAAAGTGAGTAATTGAATCCAGTGCAGTTACTTGAAGACAATTCCCTATGTTAACAGCTCCTTCCACAGATGAATCAACAGTGGCCAGAGGGTTTGAAATTCAACCTAAAAAGGGAAATTGAGCTGTAGAGGAAAGAAACACTTTTACTGTGCATAAGTATCTATTTTTTTAAATACACAGATTTCTGTGCCCTCAGAAAACCCTGAAAGATGGAAGATGTTTAAGTGCATCAGTCACAAAAACCAGTAGCGTGCCCCCAGTCCTCCTTTTGTGTGTACGAGATAAAACCTTTTTTATTTCCCTTGTTCTTTCAGAGTGTAGTATCTTTTATGATCACCAATGGATAACATACACTGAGTTACAAGTAGCCAGGGTGGCCAGACTCTCTTATAAAGATGTGCATGCAGAGAAAGATGTTCTGAGTTTTTTGTAAGTGTTCCCAGATTGCCAAGAAGTCCAGTGGTGTCCTGGCTTGTATCAGCAGTAATGCGGCCAGCAGGATCAGGGCAATGATTTTTTTTTTTTTTTTTTTCCCCTGTACTTGGCACTGATGAGGCCACACCTTGAGTCCTGTGTAGAAAATACTGGAGGACACTGAGGTGCTGGATTATGTCCAGAGGAGGGCAGTGGAACTGGAGAAGGGTCTGGAGCACAAGCCTCCAGAGAGAGGAGTTGAGGGAACTGGAAGACTTTATTGCTCTACAACTGCCCAAAAAGAGGTTGATTTGGAGGTTGGCCCCTTCTCCCGAGTGATAGAATCAGAGAAAATGGCCTCAAGTTGCAGGAGAGGTTTAAAATGGAATTAGGAAAAAATTTTTCACTGAAAACATTTCAGCAGACTGCATGGAGAAGTGGTGGAGTCACTGTCCATGGATTTCTTCAGCTGCCGTGTGGGTGTGGCACTTGGGGACATGGTTTGGTTCTGGACACAGCAGTGCTGGGTTAGTGGTTGGACTTGAGGATCTTGGAGGTCTTTCCAAACCATAGCATTCCTGTGATTCTCTAGATGTGAATATTAAAGTAGGCTTTTTAGTAGCAGCACAGAGCAGTTGGACGTGAGGGTTGATAATGGAAAGGTTAGATGACCCACAGCTGCATTGGTGATAACCAAAGTATAATTTTAGACAAATACATAACTGTCTTATATGTTCATGCATGTCACAATACTTAGTATGAATGCAAAGCTGTGAAATGTGATTAAATTCTTCTGTTGGTATATGTAACTATTATTTGTGTCCACGCAGAAGAATGTGAGCTAAAGTTTACTAGCAGGAGAAGAAAAAACATCATAACTTTGTTTTTCAGGAAGAGCTTGAGTGGGGTCGATCTAATTGTGTTCATATAAACAAGATCAAAGAGGTAAGATTAAATAGGTAGTAGTTTTTATAAGCAGAAGGACTTAACTTTCCTCATTCTCTGTAAATGTTAAAATTTTGGGTAAACCTATTGTGTTACATATCTATCAGTATATGTAGAAGTTTATTTTCTTAAAATGAACTATGAATTTAGTTGAAAGGAATTTTGTTATGATAAACAGAGTGGTTAAATTATTAACTGCTTAAAATATTTTAAATATTTTTCAGAAACCTGCAGTATTGTTTGCTAATTTTATAGGTTACTCAGATCACTGGTTGTGATGTGACTGCTGTCTGTTGTTCAATGACTTCTGTTTTTTGGTTGGGAAGACTCTAAGCAAATACAATTATATAGCGAGGTCTGGACTTGAGAATCCCTGGGGCTTTGTTGCTAACATTACTGCAGCAATTAATGAAAACTCAGCATCACAATGGGCTTCAAGCTTAATTTGATATATTGAGGAGAAAATAAGTAAGATTGCTGAGTAATTGATCAGCTGAATTGCCTTGGTCGTTATTTCACCAGTTCACACCTTTGGCATGAGCAATGCAGGGCCTGTGTACAAAAAGCACAGGAAATAAAAATAGAATTTGATAGTGAGCAGCCATCTGGATAAGAAATTACAATTTTATGACTTGCAGACGTGATAACAACAGCAATTAAAAAAAAAAAAAAAAGAAAAGCAAATTTTATAAAATGGACAGTGGAATGATCAGTCTCACATGGCAGCCTCTCTTAGCTCAGTTTCAGATAATGCTGGAAGAAGAGGTTGTGCATGACATAATATGAGTTTAGAATGGTCACCTACACTTAACACTTACTAAGATTTGGGGGCTTTTATTTGCTGCACTTAAAGATCCTAATTTCATAATCCCTCGTGTGGAAGTGAGTTTGCAGAACTGAGTCAGTCACAGGGGTTCCTTTCTGGCAGTGGTTGTTCTGGTAGTGTGCTAAAACTGCCAGCAGCTGGAAGGAAAGGAAAATGTAGCTACAGAAAAGTTGTGTGGACAGCACTTTGTACATCTGCTCCAGAATTGTCTGGGAGAGTGAAAGCATTCACTCTGTCTGGTTGGAGGACCAGTGCTTGCTTGTGGGAGTTTCTTGGAAATGCTGAAGATGGAAAGCTGAAGTATGTTCTGCTGGAGGGCATAAATTTGATCTCTCTCACAGTAATCAGAGTTGTCTGCTAAACTGAGGGTGCACCATGGTCAGTGCTGCAGTTTGGTGCAGAATTCCAGGTTGCTAGCAAGATTTTTACCTCATAAGTTACAAACCTAAAATGATTTAAATAGAGAATATCATCTTGTAAAAGGTTAATTCAGTTCTTTTCCTAATTTTGCCCTGTATCATATATGTGTAATATGCTTTGTGACTACAGAGAAGTTCTTTATAAGGAGATTTTGGCAACACTGCTTGAGTCACAGTACTGAAATTATTTTCCAACATAAAGATGCTGAGCAGTATATTGGTGAAATGCTTACCAGTCACCTGAAAAGGGAACCTAGTTTGCCCAATTATTTCAGACTTTAACTAACATTTTATTTCAGTTTGTGGCTGGGTTTGATTCCTTTAAAATGTAACTTAGAGATCAAATTTCAGGTGGCAGAGTTATTTCACAACTTGAAAAGGAGAGTCAGTGCATTTAACATGCATGTTAAAGCTCAGCCATCTCCTGTGGACGAGGAATATGTGTGCAAACAACGCTTCATCTTGCAGGTAATGCTTTACTGTCATAAAGAGATGCTGTTTACAAAAATTGCAGTTGAATCTTCATATCAATTTTCATAATTTTCAATTCATAATATTGATTAACTAGTAATACACTTGTTTTCCAAAATCCTCTGTGGATGTAGCAAGTTTGGGTAGAAAAAAAAAGCAATTTTTGGCAGTGTATTGGCAATGTAGAAGGACAGCTAATGTTAGTTAATTGAAAATTATATTATCCCTTGTTTGAGGTGTTTTATTTGAACACTGGCTTGGTTAGAGAGTGGGGAGGGGGTGCAGGGAATTTCATGTCTAGCTATTTCAACTTTGTCTAATTTCCAGTTAAATTACTTGTCTTATTTGGACTGATTAGCAGTGCTTTTATTTTCACAGACCCTATTTATCATTTCAGTGGCATTTGGTTTAACTGTGTAAGCAGTGAGCTTCTTGGAACTGAATTGTTGAACATGTTAATATACAGCCTGGAAACAGAACAATTTACCTGTAGCTATTTTGTGTGAATTTGTTTAAATTTAGGCTCTTGAAATCTGAACTAACAATTAAAATTTTCAACCAATAGAATAGAGCAAGTCTGCATAGAAAAATATTAATGTTGTAGAATTGTTCCAGAAGTTGAATTCTTTTCACAAATATATATTTTTAAGAATTTGTGTGAATTTGTGTTTAGTCTCCAGTTCTGGTAATTCCTGAACAGAGACAGGAGAAAAATATTCATACGAAGACCTATTGGTGTCTCTATATGTTACCAGTGTATTCCATTTCAAGACAACTGAATACAGTCTGCTGTGTATCACAAAGTATTTTCTTCATTTCAGGTGGTAATAGCTGGTGCTTTCTATCCGAACTACTGTACTTTTGGAAAATATAATGAAGAAATTGCCATGAAAGACCTTGCTGGCAAGGATCCAAAAACCACTGTAATGGTATGTTAAGAAGTTGAATGACTTTATTAAGAATCAAGTAACAGAAATATGAAGTGTTTGGCTGCTGTTTTCAAGTTCTGCTCTGACTTGGGCAAGGAGAGAAATAATTACTTACTCTGATCCTTGCTTGGTCTGTCCCACCTTCCTTTATTTCAGTACAATAAACATTGTGTAGGTGGGCAATTTTGAAAGAATTCCTGAGAACTGCCTCTGTGCATTTGATTGCTAGTCTTGCACAGGCAGACAGCTTTCATCAAACTAAAAAAATATTGTGAAAAACAGAACAGAACTATCAAGGGTACTTTTTACAGAGTGCTTAATATAGTGTTGCAACTTCAGTGTTACTTTTTTTGTCATCTCCTGCTTGTTAGTGCATGGCATATGTGCTTGTTGCTTTAAGGTTACTCAGGTGTTACACTGGGTTTTGTTGTCTTCTAAAATTGCTTTTCAGCTGATTGCATGTGTGCAAGTTTAAAATGGCTGTGTTGATTTTGCAAAATTGTGCAGTCTAAACTAAGAAAATGTTTGGTGTATCTGAAGTAGGTATTACACTGTAAAACAGCTATGACCTGTGCTTAAAGAAACCAAATCTACCAACAGTCCTCAAATAATAGACTTTACTGTCACAAGAGGCATAGACAAAAAAAAAGGAGAGAGAGTCAGAAAATCTTGATGATAAGGGATCCCTTATTGATATGGGATTTTTGTGCTCTGTACTTTTTAAGGATATTGAAGCAAAATATCACACTAGACTCAATCTTGTGGAGTAAAAGCTAGTCTTGCGAGAGTAGCCTTGATTAATATCACATTAGTAGATTTAAAGAGCTGCTTACTTTTAATGTATTTAACTATTGATCTGCTCTTACATCAGCTGCTTGTTACCTTGGAAGAAGTAGCTGCTGTGTCTTCATCAGTGTAAATCATCATCTTGGGCACAAATGCTGCAAGTTCCTCAAGCTCTCACTTGGAGAGATTCTTACAGCCATATGCTGCTCCTAATGATGTGCTGAAGATATAAAAGACACTTAAACCTCCAACTCCCTGGTCTCTCTAAATTATCTTCCCTGAGGCAGTTTCTGCAGTCTGACCTAGACCATGGTATTGACCAGCAGCTGGTCTTAGTGCTGCAGCTTCAAGGCATGGGAACATTGTGAAAATATAATCTGGTTTTCCTGTCTAAAGTTGTAAGAGCCAAAGAAAAGAATAGACAGTTGCATAAGCTCTGAAAAATAGTTCAAGTCTCAATGTTTGAACTTGCTAATTAGGAGTTAATGATTCTGTATTAAATCCAGATCTCTTGAGATACTATTAAAAAAAGTTAGCAAAATGGACACGTGACTGTAGTTGTATGTTAATAGTTGTGAAACCTTACACTGGAGTTACACCTCTGGAAAAGGAAGATGAGATTGCTGTTTGCCATCCCCAGGAGGTGTTACATCCATGCGAGAGAGCTTTCCCACTTGTGCAGGCTGTCCCACCACAGCTCAGTAATTCAGTAGGTGATAGCTCTGCCAGGACATGCAGGAGCTGTAGGTCCTTCAGCTTCCCAGGCTGTGCATACTGTACAGGATATAGTTCCCCATTGTGGGAAAAGAATCATAGTAGTCCAGTGTTTTCTGTTAAAAGCAAAATCAAGAGACACTAGACAGCTTTTTGTAACAAATACCAGATTAATATATATAATTATAAATTATTTTGCTGCATTTATAGTTTATCTATTGGTTCGAAGTAGCAGGGCATTATTAGCAGCAAAACATTGCTTTTTATTGTCTTTTTGAGATTCTTGAATGTACTATAGTGTCTGGAACTTCTGGAATTTGTTGGAGATTGCAGATATTTTTTGCAGCTTAGGTGGAGGAGAAAGCTAACTATTTAGATGAACTTGAAAATGCATTAAAGCAATTTTCTTACTCCTTTTCCAACCTGTAATGCCTTCCTTATTCACATATATTTTCACATCCTATTTGCATTAAATTTGGCATGTGCTGGGGACAAAGTTTTCTTATCACCATCATGAAAATTAAAGTTACATAAAAGCAGTAGACAGAGCCTGTGAGGAACCTGCCTTTATTGTTTGCTGGCTTCTAAGATCAAGACAGGGAGAAAAAAAATATTTTCTTTTTCTTTTTTTTTTTTTTTTTTGTAAACAGGGCTTTTGTGGAGTTCTCCCGTAATCCAAAGGAGGTTTTTAAGGTTCTTCCTGAAGTGTACCTGGCAGTCAAGATGTCACAGCTGAAGATTCCTTTTGAGCTGTGTGTTCATCATCCAGAGGATATCAGAAGACAAGTGCAAGGTGCAGGAGCTGCAGGTTTGGAATTTCTAAGGTAATTGTGTTGCATGTGTAAATATGTTTCTTTGCAGTAAAATAAGGTTTGCTGAATTTGGTGGGAATTTCTTTGGAAGTATCACCAAGGAAAAAATGTTACATTCAAAAAACAAATGTGAACTTTGTCGAAGCAGAGTGTTTTTTCAGGGCTAGAAATAAGGTGATTGTTTTAAATATTTCTTTATAGTTGAAGGTATTTTGCTGTCCAAGAGAATTCCAAGTCTGCAGTCATCTTTCCTCCCCACCCCCAAGGTTCTAGTTCACTTTCCTTTGGCATGGGAAGATACGGATGTACACAGTTATTTCTGTTCCTGACAGAAACAATGTGGGGATTGCAATAACCAAAGAAAATAAGGAGTAGCATTTTGGGACAAAAAAGAAAGGGAGAGAAACAGAGCTTAACAGAAGAAACGGTGGGGGAACATAAGGGCATAAGGTGGTACAACATAATAGGAAGTAATGCTGAGAAATGCAATGTATTGAGTCTCTTTGGTCCACACCTGCTTTTGCTCAAAAAATCTGGCCTGTTTGTTCCAGTGTTATTCTATGCTGTGCTTCTGAGCTTCAGGTCATACAAATAACCTGATAAAATGGCATTCTGCCTAGCTTCTGATAAGCCTGCAGCCATTTCAGTATTTTAAAATAAGAAATCTAGAATAGGAAGTCAGGAATGAACTGAGGAGGTTAAAGTACAGGTGAGTATTTTACTTCCAGTTGATTGTACTTAGCTTTTAATAAAATATTTTAGCACCTTTACTCTGCCCAAAACAGCACTTAAAATCTTTGTGAAAATGGGCTCTTGAGGAAATGAAGTGTCTTAGGCTGAAAGACTTAAAAGTTCTTATCTTTAGTCAAGTAAAAGGAATGCTTTACTTACATATATATATATGTAAAAATTTTCTGAAATTATGTTTTTGTATACCATGTTTTTAAAAAAATAAGCTTAGAAGAAAATGCCATCATGAAAAGCCTCACTACTTATCCTTGCTTTTTTTCCATTTCTAATAAAGTGATGGCAGAGTTGTGCTCTGGTATGTATCTTTCTGTATTTGGTTATATTGCAGTTGAAACAGTTTCTCTGCAGTAATTTAGTTCTGTGTGGTCATTCTGTGTTGTAATTGAATTAATGTATTTCTAAATAAAAGTCATTAAGTACATAAGTGTGCCCTAGGGATACCTTAGGAAGCAGATGAAAACAAAAAAAAATCATCTTGAGTTTTCCCTTGTGCGTGAAGTATTTAGCATCTTCATTCCGTTTTAGAGTAAATGTGGATTGTCAGAAGCAGACAGTGGAGCCTGTGAAAATCTTATTTGGTGATTTACAAATGTCAAAGATGATCCCAAGTCGTTTTCTGTCCATCAGGGTAACGGAGGTAGGAATGTTATGTATAAGTAGGTCATATGTAATAATTAGTACCTAGATGCCTTAGCAGAGATTTATACCTGACAAGCTTATGTTAAAAAATTGAGTACTGATAATGTTTTTAGTGCAGAGGTGTCTGTAAGAATCATGGGGAATATTCTTGGTCTTCTTTTTAGTAGTTCTTTCTTAAACAGTACTCACATGTTTGCACTTGACAAAATTTGTGGGATTTGCTGGCAGTAAATGTTAGCTGGAAGTAGTCATAGATGTAAAGAGGATTAATGGATGAGGTAAAATACTTGTGTAAACTATAGGAATGGACCTATAAAACTGTATTTGGACCATTTACCTGGCTATTAACTGACAGTTTTCTTCAGAAAATGTACATATAAGAAGTGAGATGAATTAATGGTAGTATGTGCTCATTCAGAAAAAATATTTCACACGTACAAGTATATTAGGGGAAAATTCTGTGTATATACAAATATTTCTGAAATCTGAGGCTGAGATTTTTAAATCTTGTGTTAGCTATCATCTTCATTAGTTTTGCTAATCATCTTCATTAGTATTGCTAGAGTAATAGCAATATATATGCTGCTGAAATAGAAATAATAAAAACATTCAAACCACTGAGCTAGGGGAAGTGATAAGATAAAGTATTAAAACAGCTCTTGTTAGTAGTGGCATGTTTTGTGAATGGAGAAAAGAATATTTTCCTCCTTTTAGTCAGCTAAATCTCTTGGATGAAAAATGCTAATGAATTTGGTGAGACCCATTGCAATCACTTGACTGTCTGCTACTTCTATTGTAATATATGAGCTTTAATGATTGTAAATAAAGATTGTTTTTTATGACAAGCATTCAATATAAAGTCTGGATAGACATTTCAAAAGATGACTTGCTTTGTTTTATTAGCTTTAAATAGGTGTTCTCACCAGTTCCCTAATGTATGGCACATCATAACAGTGACACTGCTGATGTGCTCGCACACATAGCTGGCTGGTATTCTGTCACTAATAAAAAAAGCTGCACCAAATCTGTGTGCCTGTCTAGTCAACTGTCTGTCTTCTGTTTTCTGTATGTTAACTTCGTTTAGGAAAGTGAAACCAGTCCCTGTATTTTAGTAATGCTTATCTCAGAATCTGTTTAGGTGAAAAGTGTGTTGCAGTGCAGAAAATAAACATTTTCCAAGAAAGACGAATTATGAGACAGAAATTCTTCACTACATTGTTGCAGTGTGTGTGAACTGTTGTGTCAAGAGTAGGATTGTGTGTACATGAAAACATGTGTTTTCATGTATTTTGCACAGATGTGGTTTGTATTTGATGTAGAAGAATAATATGAAATTTGTTAGTATCTAATTTTTATACTTGCAGGTAGTAGAAGTTGGACACTTCTGGGGTTACAGGACAGATGAAAAAAACACAGCCGTACTCCGGGCTCTAAGTGCTGAGATTGACTATCAGAACCTGATGGATTTAGCAGTGCCTCCCTGTGTAGATGTGCTTTGTCTGGCACCATTCACTTATCTGGGAAAGAGAGGATACTACAGAGCTCACGTTCTGTATGTTCATGGGGATCTTGCTGAGGTAATCTGCTGTGTCATATTGAATTGGTAGCATGTAATTGGGTTAACAATCTTGGAGCTTTGCTGCCTGTTTTATTTTTTATTTATTTTTTCTACAAATTACTCTGGCCAGAGTAGATTAATTTGTTTCTTTTCCAGAACACGGGAATTTTTAGTATTAAATTGAGAAGTTCTTGTAGATTGAAGTAAAATGAAAACTAAAATCTCCAGTGAATCAGAAAGCATGGGATTTTTTTGAAGGGTGTTTTTACTGCTGAGCTCTATATCATAAACAAATTAATGTAGATATTTTGGCTCTTTGTGCTGATACGAGTAATGGAAATTAGTGCCACAGTTCAAGATTGGTATTGATTTTCAGGCCAATATTTTTCAGCATTTTTAGGACAGATTTTAAAATGTTTTTAAGATTGGCTTTTGAATTCCTTTTATTTTTTAACCTGTCTGGGAGTCACCACTATGGAGTTAATACTGAATATTGTCATGGTTTAAAGTCATGAAAAATGAGTCAATAGTAGTGCTAATCTCATCACTTTTTCCTCTGAATTTATAAACAGTAACTGAATACATGTTCACATTGCTTAGCTAAAAGCAGTTGTTGGTAGTATCTCTCACTGAAGAAGTAAGGGTTACACAGATCTTAGTGTGGGGAGAGAATTTAGAGTCTTTCAGAGATTCAAGATTGGTATTGATTTAGTGGATTATTTGCATTACAAGCAGATATTTATGCCAAGGGATCAGATAATAGATGTGGTAAAGTTTGATGTATTCTTTTTGACATGACTTCATTTGCATGCTTTCTAGACTTTGAATTTACTTCCATGTGACTTGATAAGATTTGTGTTGTACTACAATTTTTAAACTCAAGCTGTGACTTTTCTTGCCATTAAAGGTAGCACTTATAATGTTGTGAAATTCTTGCAGATACTCTTGATTCTTTTTCCAGGTTTTTTTTGTGGATTATGGCAATAGATCAGAAGTGCCTTTAAATAAACTAAAAGAGATTCCAAGGTGTCTTCAGGGCCTTCCTTTCCAGGTAGGGATGATGCTATTGGCTGTGGTTTGCTGGATATTTTTGTGTCTGGCCTGGCAAACAGGAGTGAACTTCAAGCCAGGATGCTTTTCAGAATAATACTTAAATAATACATATTTTTCTGGTGGAAGTACCTTCCAATCACCTTCACTAATAAAATTCCAGGGGTGCGCATATTTACAGAGCAGAAATTCTTGTATGTAATTGAACTACGTTATATTTAATTGCTGAGAAATTCTAATTTTGTATAGCTGTGGATTCTTTTCATGCTGCTTTGCTGTTCTCTGAACTGCTGGCTTTCCTGGGATCTTTTCAGACAGAATTCTCTTGATGATTACCTATGAGTGTTACAGATCTAGTGGTCTTTTGACACAAATTAGAGGGATTTTATAGCTGTTTTTTCAGAGAAATAATTCTCTTGAGCTGTATTTACAAATAAAGTAACTATACCTTAATTGTAACTCAGTTTTTCAGTGCTCAGTCAGATATTTTTAAGTTGGCAGAAACAGTTGTGTCATACTAAAGGTATTTTCAGAAGCATTTAATGATGAATATGAGAAATGGACCAGCAGAAATAAGATTAGATCTTGACAGGGCTAATTTTGTTTGGTTTTCTTTAGTAATTGATGTAAAAAAAATAATTTTGGTAAGAAGCATCCTTTTTTGTATTTTCTGCACACATACTAAATGGAAATGTATTTCTGTTTCAGGCCTGATCTTTTAATGACCAGTTTTATTGACTAGCTAGAAAAAAAACAGGGTTTCTGCTGTAAATTCATTCAAAGACATAATTGCAGATAGTGATTGTGGGCATGGGAACTTAATTACTCTTTCCAGCCAGGGACAGAAGAGCTGTAGTGGTCTTACCAAATTTTCTGTTACCTTAGTTGAAAACAGTTGTAGACTGAAGTTTTTTCCAGAGAAGACATCGCTGTGCTCCTAAGATTTTATTGTGAATAGTGAATTACTACCAAATTATCCTTTATGCACTGTTTGCTCTGATTCCTTAGCAACTATGTACTATATTGAAGAGATGTGAGCTGTCATGTGTTGGCAGTGATGCAGTAGGAATTATGACAGTAGCTTTACAGCAGCTGTAGGAGTTAACATAAGTTTTTGAGTGTCACCGTGATATTTTCTGAAAAATCCTTTTTGCCCAGGATTCTTCTTCTGGGAAGCTGAGAAGCTTCCCAGGAGAAGAATCAGAGCTGAGAAGCCTCAGAGTGTTTTGCTGCTTTGAAATGTGGCTGGAGATTGTTTAGCCAACATGTGAATTGTTTTTACTTAATGACCAACCACCGTCCAGCTGTGTCGGACTCTGAAGAGGAGTCACGAGTTTTCATTATCATTCTTCTTAAGCCTTCTGTCTCTATCCTTTTTCTATTCTTTAGTATAGTTTAGTATAGCATTCTTTAATATAATATCATAATATAATAAAGCCTTCTAAGAACATGGAGTCAGATTCAATCATTCCTCCTTTGTCCTGGGGACCCCAGAAACTGCCACAGTTGAGAGAGTGAAATATTTCCTTGTTGGTTCTCTAGTCAGGCAAGCGCTGTTTACAATGTTTCTGTTCTAGGCTTTAGAGTTCAAGATCTGCAAGATGTGTCCCTCTGCCAGATCCCTGGTGTGTGGGGAGCCGTGGAGCTGCAGTGCCAGCCAGAGATTTGCCTCTCTGGTCAGCGGCTGCACTCTGCTGGTGGAGGTTTATTCCCTCGTGCACGGCGTGCTGCACGTGGACGTGTTCCGGCACTCGGGCCGCAGGGGCCTGGTGAACATTCGGGACGTGCTCATCGAGGAGTGTCACGCTGACCTGGCAGAGGAGTCACACGAGTCACAGGTATGGCCTGGCTGAGCTGCTGCTGCTGCTTGTCTTGCTCTGATCTGTTTCAGTTCTGGCTGTCCTGAGAAGCTGAGCTGCAGCTTGACTGGTGGCAAGGTTAATACTTGAATAGGGCAGTGTATTTTTAGATGTGTGCATAATGCATATTGAGCTGCTAGCCGAAAGCATTGCTGCTTTGAGACCCCTTCTGCAAAAGATGTTTCCTTGGAAATTATTTCCTCAGTTGAACTGCTCCAGTCTTACTTGAAATTCTGAAAAACTGTAACTGCTTCATAGTTCTTGCATTTTGGTGTTTTATGTCATCTGAAAGGTCATCAGAACATTGTTTTTTTGTGTTTGTATGTGAGTGTTTCTTTGTGTAGGCCCTTCTTCATAAAATTTTTGAAGAAATAATTGTTCAAGGCTTTTAACACTTCCATTATTTTGTAGCAAAGCCATGATTTGCTCAAGGAATTGTTTTTGGATGGAGCAAAGAAGGAAGAGCAAATGCCTGTATCTGCAAGACAGGAAGAAAAGTGTCTCATTGAAAAATTGTTGAACTCCTTTTCTGAAAAGAAATCTGATGCACCAACCCATAAGGTAACTTGAGTGGTGGTTTTGGCCTGTCATCACTTGACCTTGCTTCTCACATTGTTAGAATGGAGATGAGGGTTGAAAGTACCACAAATAACAAAGCTCTGCTTGGTGCATTTCATATGGCGTTTCATTCACTGTGCTTTCTGTTGGTAGAAAGCCACAGTGTCACCACTGTTTCAGACTGGTGTGCTGCAGCTTTGAACAGAGTTTTGAATTACAGCCTGAGAACTAAGTGGTCCTGCTCTTCTAGTAAAGCAGCACTTGGACCTCAGACAGAACAGAGATAAAACTGAACAGCTGAATGTGATGTTTCCCTACATGGTAGTCTTCATTATGTAGCAAAAGAGCAAGTTTACAACCCTATCAGTTTTTCAGAAAGTCTAAACATGGTTTTTACTGTACACAGTGTTTAGTTACCTATCATCAGCTGGTGATAGGTAAGCAGCTGGGATAGGTGCATCAGTGAACACTCCAGTAACTGATGGTAATGATGCTTTTCCTCTGCCAGTGCCAAACTCAGAAATGTGTTTTGAGCTATCTAGTCACTACTAAGTTGGAATATAAAAGAGGAAGATGTGTGTCCTGTTCTGCATTGTGATGACAAGTTAGGCCTCATCTACATTCTGATTATTTTTTCCATTTCAGACGTGACAAAATTTCAGGCTTTCAAGCACGTAATCATTCTCCATTTATCCACAGGAGTAATCCTGTTTAACTGCCCACTTCATAAAGTGAGATATTTTCAAGATTAAAGACCTCATCATGTAAATAAAATTACCTGGTTTTCTTCAGTGATCTCTGAAGTCTGAACTTATTTTTTTAAGCAAGAGGAAAGTCGTGAATCTGCAGCACCTGTGAAAATAGATAATTTTAGTTAGATGCCTCAACAAGCAAAGTTTGCTTTAGATGAGTGAAATGGAAGCACCCATTTAAATTTACCCATTTAACAGCTCAGTGTTGCTCAGTACATGCTGAAATGCGTTTGGCTTTAATTTATAAAGCATTTAGATCTGAAGAGATCCAGGTGCTGGCCAACTCTACAGTCTCTCTCTCCCTTTTTTTGAAGGTAACAGTTTTTGGTCCGTTCAGTCCTTACCAGTTGAAATGCTACAGTCTGACCAAAATATCCCAATTCAGGTATGAGAAGACTTTTATTGGGAAGTATAGTCATGTTCTTATCTTTTATTTTCAATAAATAAACTAGGCAAAAAACACCTGTTACTCTTACAGATTTTTTCAGAATTTTTATTCATTGAAAAGACTGTAGGAGTCAAGCTTGAATTGCATTAATACACATGCTATTGCTATTTAAAATCTTAGAGTAGTCTTAAGGTGCATTATTGTCTCACAGAGAGATTTATTAACTGTCATTTAAATGTGCTAACAGTAAGCAGCTGTTCTGAGTTTCTGTTTTGAATTTAAAACATGTTTTTATGAGTTTTGCAGTTTTTTATTGTTGAAAATATTTCTTCCCCAGAAATGTTTTCATACATAAGGACAGCATAAACTCCATTGTTGTCCATGATGGTGCAGAAGATCCCTTTCAGCAGCTCTTGGTCGCCACTGATGTATCAGTAACTGCAGCTGGTAATGCCTAATAAAAACATTTGGATGGTTTCTCTAGACTGCTGGTTTTATATGAGTAGTTCCATGAGTAAATGTGTCCCTGGAGTTCTGTGTTACATCTTTTGAGGTGTCGTTTTCATTAAATGCTCCTTCGAGTTATTTGAGTTTTTTTTCTTTTTGTGCCAGGGTGTGTGGTTTTAGGTGAAACATCTTTGATGCCTCCTATTCATGGCCTGCTTGCACTCCTCAGTATGCTGTTTGCTCCTGCAATAGAACTCAGGTATTTGTGCGTTTTAAAGTGGTGGTTCTTTTATTGTTTTCTTTAGGATCCTCACAGATTTTTGACAGATATTATTTATTTGCTTTTAGCATTTTATGTATTCTCTTCCTGGTATTTTTAATGAGTTTTAGTATAGTATGTAGGTAAAATAACTTGTTCATGTACTTATGAATTGGTGCTGCAGTCTCCTCTCATGATAAGGCATTACAGCTCCTGATAGTTGTGCTGGAAGCCTGGGAAGATAGAATGGTAAACTGGGAATGTTAAATCTACATGGGGAGAGGAACTTGCATAATTTTTTGGAAAAGCTGAGCTCTGGCTGTGGCATCACTGTTGTGTTTTCTTGAATTTCTGGTATTTGCAGACTTTCATTTCAAAATAGTGAAGCTTGCTTTCCTTTATTTTGCTTATGTATGATTTTTTGGTAAGTTTTGTGAGTATATGTTTTTATAAGCAGAGCTTCAGTTTTATATCATCACTGCATATTTTAAAAACCAGTATGACTGAGTGTGAATGCCTCTCAATTGTTTTAGCTTCTTTCAAACACATATCTTGCTTTGTGTGGCTTGGACAAATTCATTTAAGTCTGTCTTCCTAAGAGTTTTGTTTCTTCATCTCTTGATGAGACTGTTCTCTTTCTTTCTCATGTAGAGTTGATAAAAGTGGGAAGTATTTTACTGGTGTTCTGTGTGGTTTGGGTTGGAGTCAGACATCTGGGGCTCCACTGTTTCCAGCAAATGATATGGAGGTGACATTTGATGTGCATTTTGGACTGGAGGACATAACAGAGGTAAAACTTGAGTAAGAATTTTCACTACAGTAGGAATTCAGTTGAAGTCAGTGCATCTGAGCTTGTTATTCTTAGTGTTAATAGAAAAGCTGGTTTGGACTGTGGGGTTTGGGGTTTTTTATGGTTTGTGTATTGGGTTTTTCTTTGGTTTTGTTTGTTTGGGTTTTTCGGTGTGCTCCTTTTTTATGATCTTGGATTTTTGTCAGGAGAAGCAGTTGCCCTGTCCCTACACTTGGAACAAATAAGATGCTATAGAATGTTACATACTTTTCAAAATATAATCATCAATTTTGCACTAACTGGAAGTCAATGCTTACTAGTTTTGTTCTTGACTTTTACTGACAGGCAGAGCGCTGCTACTTTGCAAGCTTCAGTTTGATTTTACAGCTCTGATAAGTCGTCTGTGTTGAGATGCATCTCAGAGCAGATCAGCCAAACAATAAAGCCCCTGCACTCCTCATTACTGCCTTCTGCAGCTGAGAGAGTGAGGTCTGTTGGAGGGAAGCATGTACATAACCTGTGCAGGACAGTGGCTGTGTTTGACACGTGCCTGAGACAGTGAAGGACGCACCCTGGTTAGGTCTGTGTGCACAGCAGATGCTTGGGGTGGTTCCTGAAGGTTTTCCAAGGACACAGTGGATATGCTGGTGCACACATCTGTGAGCTGTTATTTTCTGAAGGCACTGATTTGGGTGTGCTGGCTGCATTCATGATGCCTTAGTCAGAATGGTACCACCAAGCTGCTGTATATGTGAAAAATTATGGACAGAGAGTGAAAATGCTTAAAACTTCCACAGAAGGAATTCTGCTTTGGAAAAAGTCCAGGCAAGTGGTAGCCTGTCTGTTTTATGGCATATCTGAGTAACCTTAAAAAACCTGTGATACCAGGTGGCTGAAATATTAACATCACTGACCACCAGAGGTACAGCTGCAGGAAGAACCATTTCTGACACTTCAGCTGTTTTTACTTATGGAAATACTATTCCAGTTTAAGTTCAGTGAAGTTCAGGATGCCATAGCCACCTTCATGTCAGTGTAATATGATACAGACCTTGTGTTGGTTTAAAGTGCTTTATATTCTGTAACTGGTGTTTTACAGATAAACAATCTGAGGACAGCCATGAATAAGCTGCTCTGTGAGCAAGCACTGCATTCTGGACAAGAGCAAGTGGCACAGCTGCAGGAGGATATTCGTCAGAAGCTTCTATGGTAATCATTTTGTAGAAATAATATCTTCTGTTTCACAGTCTCAGCAAAAATGAGTGATTGCTTGAAGCATAGCTCAGGTTAGGCTTTGGAAAAATAATATATGCTCTCATTTAATGATGCATTTCATTTATTTTGTTTATTTATAAAGCAGTATACTAAATAACCTCAGAGTTCTTGTGGAAGCACTGGTTCTTCAGGGAAGCCAAATCACTTCAGAGTAATAAAACCTACACTGTAAAACCTGTTCTACAGGATATCAGCTCTTATGTATCCTTATTTTTTGCACCCAGGACAAAGCTAATGGAGTTCTATGGCATAACAGTGCAGAAAGAATCCTAAATCTTTCTTCCTCTACATTAAATTTGAATCATGTATGCTGCTTTTCCTCCCTCAGCAGACCTGTGCAGAATAGGTGTTGGCCAAGTGAATTGGAAATCCCAGGCAAATTTAGGAACTGAAGTAGAGCCACCTGCCTTTTTGCCCTGCCAGCCTCCCTTCTTCGTGGAAGTGAAGGAGGTTGTGAAAGACCATTGTGATTCAGTGCAGCCAGCCTGAAGAATTTTTCAGCTTGTAGTTTGGGAGAAGGAGTGCAGCGATATATCCCAGAACAGCTCATTCTGTCTGTCTCTGCTGAGCATAATGTGAAAAGTCTTCCCTTGTTTGTATACTCAGCATGAATTTTAGTGCTGTCTATATCATCAGGAGAATTTTCTCATCTGACCTGGCTCTCTACTAAGCTATCTTAAAAAGAACTCTGGTCCAGAGGCCATAACAACTTTTACCAGCTTCATCTCTAAGAAGTAAGACCTTTTTTTGCCAGTAGAGCTTTGCTGAAGTAACTGCTTGATGTCAGAGTTAGGCAGTTCATTGTGCTGATAAATATCAGAACCCTGCTCCTACCCAGGGTTATCAGAATGATTATCAGAGCAGCTGTTCATGCTGATTTTTCAGGTGTTCCTTGGTTTTGAAAGTACCTGCTCTCTTATCTGTGAAAAAAACCTATTAAATTGCCTTAAGTTAAAAGCAAACACCCATACTTCCTATTTCCGAAACTCCAAATAAAATTTGGCTGCATTCCATAGTAAATTAACAAGTCAGCCTTACCTTTTGAGGCACTAGAAATTAAATTAAAAGAGCACAAGCAATGGAGAAGTCAAGGATAGGCAGAAAGAGGCAAAGCCACAGCCCCTGTCTGGAGGTGACTGTGGCAGTAACAGCTCACGCTGGGACATCAACACTTAAACGTTAAATTGAAGGCACTAAAATGTCATTGCTATTTGTTCAGACATGTGAATACTTGCTACAGTTTGGGCACCTATTTTGGGCTGATTGTTCAGACATCTCCAGCCAGCTGGGAGGGGAAGGGTCAGACCTTGGCACAGGTCCTGGGCACTGATGTGTTCCCAGCTCAGTCAGCGCCGACTGCCTGACTCGGTCACTCTCATCAGCCCCGGGCTTTTTGTCTGCAGGATTTTCTACCTTTCTGTGGTAGCCTTTTCTCTCCTAGAATTTTTGTACATTTATTGGTTGTCTTCCAAGCATCCTACAGATATTTTTATTTAAATTTTTATATTATTCTTGTGTGCTTTTATTTGAAGTAATAAACGGTCTGATTATTGTAATGATTTCTTCTTTTCCCTTGTGTAAAATCTTTCTTGGGTTTGAGTATTTTTTTTCCAATTGTACTTTTTGTGTTTTGGAAAAAACATTTATTAATTCAATTACATAGGTAGAAATTTAGCCTGAGCAATCTTTCATTACTGTTTTCCATTTTTCAAAAGCTAATTGTATTTACAACATGTCACCACTACTTAAGACTAAAATCAGTTTTTGAAAAACACATCTAGACAGAATTAATTAATGTCTACTACTGTTGTACTTTGCACAGCTTGAGGAAATAACTGGAGCAGACAGACAATCTATAGTAATTGAGTTGTCATGCAAAACAAAATACCCTAAAAATAGCTGTATTATACATTCTAGTGAGTAAGCATACATAAAATGTAAGGAATAAATTACAGTTGCAAATTCTAGTGCTTTGTAAAAAAGGAATCTCATTACTTTCTTTAGAAGAAGATACATTCTGATACATGATACGTCCCTGTGAAAATTTCTATTTTGACTTATTCCACTGGATAAGCAAAGTACAGAGAAGTGAAAAATCAGACTAGATTAAGAGGGAAATTTAAGATTCCCTTTAGCACAGACACCTTGTGAATACCTGGTTGTATCTCATAGAAAAAAAATCCTTTGTCTTTGTAATGAACCAAATACAAGTGTATTTCTCAAGGCTGTATTTATGTAATTTCAGTTTAATCTGCAAATCAAAGCCTCGAGACATAATTGATCCTATCTGGTATGAGAAGCCATATGCATGGAATCAGGTAAGGGTATAAATTTTCAAGTTTTGTGGGGTGGGAGTTTTTTTTGGGTTGGTTTTTTTTTGTTGGTTGGTTGGTTTGATTTATTCATTAGTTTGTTTTTTGTTTTGTTTTTGGTGTTTTGTTTTTGTGGTTTTTTGTGGGGTTTTTTGAGGAGTTTGAGTACTCCAGTACAGTTAGTTAAGAGTGTTGAAAGGCTATTAAATTTGAAAATACCGAAAGCACTGTAGGGTTAAATTTAAAGCATAAGAACTTTTATTTATGTAATCACTTACGGCTGTTGATACCTGTTTTTTTTAGAGTCTGTTTAGTTGTTGGGTGGCTTGGGGTTTTTTTATTTTTGTGTCTATAAATATTTAGTATTTTTAAACAGAACTTCCCAAGGTTAAGGTGAGAGAGATTGTTTAACTTCACATTTGTGGGAAGTTAAAATTTTTTGTTTTTTCTATTAAGCAGCTGTAGCTACATTTTCCTGAATGCAGTGTATTTTAGTTTTGTTTTGGGTTGCTGTGGTTTGAGGTGGCTTTTCCCTTCTAGGCAGACAGAAACATGGCTTGTTTTAGAACAAATGTGGTGGGGTCAGGCAGGAGGGCAGTTTTCTCAAGACCCAGGAGGGTTTCATGAGAAAACTCTCCTAGCTTACTACTCTGTTAGAAATCTTACCTTTCTTTCTGTAAGGGCCTTTGCAGGCCACTGGATTTCCTGGAGAGCAAGTAGAGTTTCTTAATTAAAAAGGGGGTGAGGAATTAGTGCAGGAATAAAAGTGCTACACCCACCCTGCCTGTGCCTCTCCCACCCTGCAGCCCATAAAGGAGGGGTTTGGGTCACCCTTGAAAAGAGGGACAACAGAGAACCAACACCAAGGGTACTTATTTCTAAAAGGCATTTTTTTAGATTGTGTTGTGATATACTGCCTTAGGCCAAAGTGTTTCCATTTTCATATTTCACATTCAGTTATCCTTGGATTTATGAAGATAATATACTCATTTCTGCTGGAGTTTATCTTTTATAACAGGCTAATGTGTAGGCCTTGGGTCAGGATTTTCTCCACTGCATCTGAAGAATCCCAGGACATCTTAGATCATAAAATATTGCCTGTAATGCATTGGAATTGATTGTGGAATAGTGTTCTAAAATCATGGCGAACCATAAGATAGAGCATTTTGTAGCCCTGGCTCTTCTGTTGCAGTGTGTGGCATGGAACTGAAATTCCTGTATGATTTAAAACTCAGAACTCTTGAAGACTTTTTCTTAGCTATGTTATATAGAAAAACATTAAGAATGCTTTCTGACTTTCATCTTGCTTCTTTTGGCTAGGTGGATTCTCAGTGCATTATTGACGAGTCTGAAAAGCAGCATGGAAGAGGAAATCTTGTTTATCAGCTCCACAAGCTTGTTTTGTTGAATGATTAAGTATTTCTAGAAGTCTTTCAGAGGACGAGGTATTATTAGTCTAAAAATCAGTTACGTCTTGTATGCATGTTTTGCAAGGCTGTTCCTTAACGTGAGTACAGGTGTACTGAAATACAGTTTGGAAAATGTTCCTGTGTTTCTGAAAAAGCTGATTTGCTAGCTGGTTTGCTAGCCTAGAGAAGACGAGTTCAGTCATAAAAGAAACTGATGTAAATCAGGATGCGATTTTCATTTTAATAGTACTTCAAACAGGTTTATCACAAGGTACACAAAAGATTAAGCAAATCTAGGCTTAGTTGTTCATTTTCTGTCTAAAAACTCATAAGTTAAGGGGCATTACTTTTTTTTTGGTCCATAATTGCAAGTTGCATTTTCCTGTTTTCTTTTTTATCAGTTCTTAACCCCAACTTCCTTTGTTGCATTTTTTTTTCCTTAACCAAGAAATAGAATTCAGAAGAAACTGATGATCTAAATTATGCTCTGATCCAAACTATATCTTCATATACTGGATACAATTTTTTGTTAATTTTTTTGTATAGCAAAACATAACATGATTTATTTTCCTGTATGGCAGAAGAATGCTTTTGAATTACTGATTCATGGCACTTTGTTTCATCCTTTCAACTTACTTTTACCTGGGAGATCTTTAGCCCTAAAAATGAGGTCAGTGGTTTCAGAATAAAATGCAGAAATTAAATAAAATGTTTTTGTCTCTTCCTTTGTGAGGTCATGCTTAATAAAAACTAAATTTAATTATTAAAGGTATGTGATTGGAGTCATGAAGTACATCAATACAGAAACAATGTATGGAAGAGTATTCATTTTCACTGTTCACTCAGTGATTTGAAGGTTATGTAACATCCAGTCATCCTCTGAAGGCTAGAGAATCAGTAGTCACCATAAAAAAGTAGCAGATTTTTGGAAAATAAGGGGATGCTTAGAATAAGAAGTTATTTTAAGCTATAAATAAACAGAGGGGTGACTGTCTAACAGGCAATTTCAGTGGTTTATTAGAGCATTACTTTCTTAGATCCATTTTAGTGATCCTTGGGAATTAGAATAGTTAGTGAGAAGTCTTAACAGAAAAATTGCATCTCAAGTGGCTTAGAAAAGAGTGTTTCTCAGCCAAGTGTTGTACATCAATTAAGTGTTCCTGTTAAACACCTTCAGGGGCAAGTGGAACAGGCAGGATTTCAAATCTTGCTTTTGTCTATTAACGATGGGAGTTTCCATAGGAAAAGGAAACTTGGCAGCACACAAAGGCATGAAAAAAATAAAGGAATTCATTCCACATAAGCAACAGGCAAAATTTTTTTTTTTTTTTTTTTTTTAATTTAAAGCTCTGTTTCTCCCATGTATGGGTCTCTGTGTGTGACTGTGCTGCCACCAGGTGGGGGCTGCTGTGATTCAGGACAGAACAGCCCTGCAGGAAGCTCAGCATCCTTCAAGTCAGCCTTGCTGGGTGATGTTTATTGGCAGATGGATATATACAGTACTAACAGTTGAAAAGGAGCTGCTGTATTTTATTATTTGATTTAGGCTTCAACAGCATTGCAAAGTCACTTGGACAAGTTTAAGGTAAGTAGCTTCAGGATTTCCTCTCAAAGGTAATAAATAGTATGTCACACTGGAGAAAGAAGTATTGTAAAGTAGCAGCATCGTTGTGGCTGTGAACCTGATCCCTCTCAGCTTTGTGGCTTTTGGGGGCTGCTTCCGTAAGAAAAAAGGCTCTGACTGCTTGTCAAGATTTGCTTTATCTCCAGGAGATCACCAACACTGAGCAGAATGAGACTTCAGTTACCATAATTTACTGTATTTCTTCATTGAACTTAAGGTAGAAATACTTAAATCTATAAATGACCAGATTAATGCTCTTAAATTCCTCCAGTAATAATGATAAAGTGACAAACTGTACTGACAGGTGCTTCTAGAATCTGAAACAATGTGCATTGACTATTATTCATAATTCCCTCCACAGGTGCAATGATATCTGATAGCAGTTTTAAATCAAAAGGAGATTTTTTGCCATTCCATGTAATTAATTTTGGAATTTACTGCCATGGGCTCTGGTGGAAATCAGATATTTGAAAGAAAAATTAACTGGAACTCCAGAGAAGACAGAGCCTTTATTAACTGTTAAAATTTAGGAACTTGAACTCCTTATCTTACTGAATTCCAGAACCTCAGAAAATATAATGAAATAATGTCTATTTTTATCCTTGCCAAAGTGTTTCCTTATGACAGGTATATAGGTGGAAAATATTGTTAATGAATCCTTTTTCAGAGGTCACCTGTAGTTCCTTAACTGATTCTTGGTAGTGCTGCAGGGCACTTGCTCTCTTCTTCCAGGAGAATCACATTGTCAGGATGTGTCAGCAAAAGAGAAAAGGGTGTAACACAGTTGGGAATTTCACAATTCCTTCCCCAGAAGTGTGTGTGTAGGGATTAGGGTGCTTTAAATGGAGTGAACTGAGTCCTGCTGAGCCTGTGGCAGCTGTGCTCTCTGCAGGGAGTGCAAGTGGGAAAATCAAGGTGAGAGTGCATGTCAGTGTGAAGTGATCCATTTCCAGAGAAAACAGGACTGTCCTCCTTTAGCTGGGTGGAATTTTAGGAGGTACAGATGAGTGCATGTAGATCCTGCTTTGACTTTGCCTAGCAATGTTGTGCTGTTGTTGAGCTACCTATTCTGGAACCTTACCAATGCATTTTACAGTGCAAAGAGAGAATTGAATTACCAGGAAAAAGAAGGCCAGAGCTGGAGTTTGAGTAATGAAGGGATGGATGGTGACTTGATGGGCCACAATGACTGCAGTCTCAAGAGGTTAAATTCAATGCCAGTCTACATGGAAGTGTTAGAAAAACAACCACATGAATTAGGATAAATTATGGATCATGCTTTAAAGCAGGGTACAGGTGTTGGCATAGACTGTGCAGGAGTTACACTGATCTTACCAAGTTGTTGGCATGTTTTTCAAGGACCAGAGTAACACAGAGCAGGGTTTGTCTACCTCATAGAAAGGGGATAGCACTGAACAGAAAAATAAAAACCATTCATCAGTGTATAGTGTGATTTGGAGTTTCTTTCTGTAGAAGAAGAACCTTGAGAAAAGCAGATGAAACTCCAAAGAGGTAAATAAAGAAACCTGAGGCAAAGATGGTATGTCTGAGATATACATTAATCCTCTAAAGGAGTGTTGAGGGAAGAGGCAAGCTCTGAGCTGATCTGATGAATCTGTAGGAAGATAAATTGCTCTTTTCTTAGTCACTGAGCTACATGGGTAGGTGTATTTGTCATCCCTGTCTGATGCTCCTATATTTAGCTTTCACTCAAGCTCAGGAGTGTCTGTCTAATCTCCCAGATCTATGACTTAAATGCCTTGGGGGAACAGAGGTGGCTGTTCCCTCTGCTGAGAGAGCTGCAGGATAAGGACAGGACCTTCCTAGGGATCCCCCCTTCAAGGGAGAGGAGTCACCCCCTTAACATGGCTGTGAGTGATGGGGAAATCCTGGCAGATATTTCTTGGCACATGGATGAGTTTGTGGATGTTTCTTGATCCCAAGGATAGGGGCCAGGTGCCTGAGCTTGGGTGCTGGTGCTCAGTGAGGGGTTACTGATGCTCACTGCTGGTTCTGCCATCAGACTGGTGAGAGGGCAGGGGGTTGAGGTGATCTGGCCAGGAGTGAGCTGCACACACCATGAGCTGTCCTGAGGGGTCATGGCTTCACTCCTTCACCCCTGCAATTCCCTCCCTCACAGGGAGGCACCCTGGGGAAAGAGGGAAGTGGGGTTGCTCCTTGGTTCAGTGCAAGGAGGGAGGTGAAGTGTGTGGTTGAAATGCTGGCATTCATTTCCTTCTGTGCTCCAAAAAGTGCAGAGGCTGCTTTTTCCTCTGAAAAACTGTAATCAAAACTTCTTCACTCATGGTGAGATGAGTTCATGACTTTTTCATGTCATGCTTATGAAACTTGTTTTCTCTCTGGGCTGCTCAGGGTGATGGTTTTCTTTGCCCCTCCTGTATTTGTTCTTCATACCGTGTGGAGAACCATGGAGGAGTTTTAAGTATTTCACTTTTCTCATTTTGTTTTCTTCCTAAACAGCATACAGCACCCAGGGGTACCTTTCTCCATCTGCTTGAAGAAGGAAGGGTACAGCTGTTGGTAGTATTTCAGCATTTACAAAGCTAGTTCTTCTCTTTTGGTCTGTTAATAGCAAAAATCTAGAGTGCATAATCAGGACCAGCACAGAGGATACGTATGTATCTGGGGTTTTCCTCATCTGTCTTTAATAAGGACAGAAAGGCCACGTTTAAAAGGCAGGAAAGTAGATAAGATTTTATTAAAATTCCTGATACACTATCTTCCACAGCACATATTTCAAGAGATCACGGAACATAGCTGCAGGGAGTTCTTCTCTAGTTGAACATGTTAGCTCTGTCTTGAACAACTTTCACTTGGTCTTGACAGCAGTTGTGCAAACACCCTCCTCCTCCCCAACTGCCAGGTAAGATAGGAATTGAACAGACACACTTTATATCTGATTATTTTACATGTTTTCTAAGGAATAGATATTGCTTGAATTTTATTTATGAAGGAGAAGGAGGTAGAAAATGCACTGGGAAAAACACAGGGATTGCTGCTGATGGCAATTCCTAAAATTAGAGTGGTTTCTGAAACTAATACATTTGTAGTGATGCTCCATAGGATGTCAGGAATGAGGAATGTCAGTGCTGCAGGATGAGGAAGGGAAGCACAGTCTGTGGTATCTTGGGAGCTTCCAGAGGGTATGTGAGGGCTTCTGGAAGGAACATTTCATATTTCAAATGGATGCTTTCAGCTGAAGGACAGGAACAACAGCAGAATAATCCATCTAGATAGAGATGGGTGTACGGTAACAATGTTGTAAAGCGTCCTACCCCAGACTGGCATGAGAAGGGAGAAGACTTCTTTCTTGTATACTTCCTCTGTGCTTGTGTGAAAAAACATTTCCTCATGTTATTATCTTTATTTTCACATTAAAATGCAAATTTTTGTCTTAATTTTACTGCAGCCAGTTTTCAGGTTACTCTTTTTCAGTTTATTTGAACTGAGGCAGTTATTAATTTTTCCCCTCTGTTTCTCTGCTATAACAATATAGTCTCATGTGATTATTTGACAACTATAAATACAGTTACATTTCATTTAGCTCTTCTAGGGCAGTTTCACACAGCTCCTGTATTTATCGCATGCAAGTATTGACCTACAGTCAACTTGAGTTGGCTCCCTTTTGATAACAGCTTTCCCAGGTCAGGATCATTTCAATAACTGGTTTTAATATAATCTGAACTAGTTTTTGTCTAAGGTAAATGAAAAAAACTACCACAAATTTTTTTGAAACATAGATAATGATTTAGGGCCACATTATCCACTCCAAGATGCAGTCTACACTTTGCAATAAAGTATTTTTATTATATGAATTTTTCTTTACCGTCTCTCTCTAAACACAAGAAGGATTGTCTGTGCACTCCCATCATATGCATTGGTTTGATGGATGAGATGTGATAGTAGAAGACTTGGCCGGAATAGCCAAGTACTGGAGGTACTGGACATGGTCTTCAGTTATCTTGTTCTTTTTTAGTGATGGAGATTAAAAGGAGATATGTTCTATATTTTAGCTTTTTGTGGATTACTGGTTTATAGCAT